GGTCCTCCATTCGGGTGTAAGTTTTTTAACATTTTTTTTGCCATGGTGTCATATTTTTCTCAAGTTGAGTTCCAATATTAACTGCTAATTGAATTTTGCAGCTGGTGGAAGAAATAGAGGTGGGAGGGGAGGGCATGATGCTTTGGTTGGTACCACAATAAAGGTACGACAGGGTCCTTTCAAGGGCTACCGCGGGCGTGTTGTAGATATCAAAGGTCAACTTGTTAGAGTTGAACTAGAATCACAAATGAAGGTTGTTACAGGCAAGTCTCCATCCATCCATATACAGTGACAAGCTAGCCCCTTGTATTCCTGTTTGTTTTATGGGCAATGAATACTGTTTTATGTGCAGTTGATCGGAGCCACATCTCGGATAATGTGGTTGTTTCAACTCCATACCGGTAAATTGAACATGCGCTGAAAGTTGTTCAAACTAGTTTTATTATTCTACCTTTCTTATTAAATGTTTTTTCACATGTTTTACCAGCGATACACCTCGATACGGTATGGGAAGTGAAACCCCAATGCATCCTTCTCGTACTCCATTGCGTCCATACATGACGCCAATGAGAGATTCTGGAGGTTTGTTCTTTTTTATACTAGTCTATTTAGATTTTGGATCCTTTAATCGTGGACCATTTTGGCATATAAAAGTCTATTCAGATTCTGGATGCTTTAATCAACCACCAATTTGATATGGAAGTTGGTGTGTGCACTTATGCATATCTCATGTTTGCAGCGACACCTATTCATGATGGCATGAGGACACCTATGCGTGATCGAGCCTGGAATCCTTATGCACCAATGAGTCCTCCGAGGTTTGAGCATGAATTTTGCTAATACCAATCCTTTTCCTATTTTAGTTTTCTTTTCATGATGAGCATTTATAAATTGGTCCCCGAATCCTCTTCTGTTGAATATTTTGTTTGATAGTCAATTAAAGAACTTTTGGCTTCATTTAGTTTTAGTCATCTCCTGTCATGGCTAATTGATTTTCAGAGGCATATTGGGGGTCTTTTTAGAACTGCTGATGGTACCTTTTGCTTAGTTGCATTCTGTCTAAAATATGACACCTTCATTTGGTGGGTGCAATTTCATAGGCAAAAAAATGGAGAGAGAAATTGGTAAAATTACAAGTGTGAATGATTTGGATTTGAAAGATTGAGCAGTTTTTTCTTCTTCACAAAATTGATTTAAAATGTGCTCATGCCTGGAGGAATGTATACTAGCTGCATTTAGTCTTTTACTGATATAGAAAGCCACAAGCTATCTTGTTTCCTTAATGAATCAGTCTCAATAGTTTTGTTGTTTTACCTAAATAATCAAAATAACCGTTTTAAGGAAAAACTAGAAATAAGAGGCATAATATAACATTGCATCTCTAAAATTTACTTACCTTAATGCAATAATTTGACATGCATCTTCTATAGTTACATCCCCATCCATGCAGTGCATCATCACACACGATCAATCATGAATCATTACCATAACCCTTTAAATTGTCTCCATGCCCTTCATCTGCCCCATTTTGCATTTTAGAACTAGACTTTCTTTTTCTCCTTTTGTTTTGCATTACAACATTTTTGCTTCAGTTATTTACAAGATATTTTCTTTTGCTTAATTTAGAACTGTTGGAGGCCTATTTCATCACTTCACATAGTTTATTCCAATTTGCGAAATTGTCTTCATGATGGATAACTAGCATATGATGAATTTAGGCAGATTTTAGAAGTAGGAGCATACCTGAGCATCAATATTCATCTTGCTTTGTGATTTAGTCTAATCTTCTTTTTTTCCTCGTCCTACTAACCTCCTTTTTAGATTTTCATAACCAACTATCATTTCTAAATTAGAACGCATGTTTCATATGCATTGCATAATCCTGTTGTCTGGTATATCTGATGCTAAAATGAAATATGTGCCCTGCATATTGTGTTTTTTGACGCTGTGACATCAGTTCCATAAAGAAAGTGCCATCTGTTGAATTTAATGAACCTTCGACTTTCTCACTTTTATGTGCTGTAACTAATGGATGGTCATTGGAATTTTGTCCAAAAAAATGTAGGGATAATTGGGAAGATGGGAACCCTGGTTCTTGGGGAACCAGTCCGCAGTATCAGGTGAAGAACTTGGCATACCTTTACCCTAAAGTAATGCAAGTTATTCCATGTTATATGTCTGTGAAGTAAAGAAATTGTTCTTTTTCCAGCCAGGAAGCCCTCCCTCTGGAACATATGAAGCTCCAACTCCTGGTTCAGGCTGGGCTAGCACTCCTGGTGGGAATTATAGTGAAGCTGGAACACCGAGAGAGAGCAGTTCTGCCTATGGTAGTTTATTTTTCAGTTTTTCTATGATAGTTTCAGTAGTTATTTTATTTATCATAGCTAACTTTATGCACCTCATATAGCCAATGCTCCAAGTCCATACCTTCCATCAACTCCTGGTGGCCAGCCTATGACACCCAGCTCAGCGTCCTACCTCCCTGGCACTCCTGGAGGGCAGCTAATGACACCTGGAACTAATGGTCTCGATATGATGTCTCCTGTTATAGGTTTGTTTTGCAATTTCTTATTTTTGCCATTCGTCATAGTTGATGTGTCGGATCTGTTAATATTTATCAGTTTATGTAAAATATATATCTGGGAATGTCCTCTTTCATGGTTTGGTTGTTGTTTTGCGTGTCATGTGAAGCCAGTTTTTCTGGTTGAATCAAGTATTCCCGAGGTGAGATCCTGGGCGTCTCCACCATATATGAAAAGAAGCAAAATTAATTATATTTTCTTCATGAAATAGTGTGTTCAGATGCCCTGCTTCATACAATGTTTGCCTTCTTCAATTCCAGAAAATGAGTTGGCGCTTTTCTTATTATTTCTTTAATTTTGGGGGTTTGATTTAACTTAATCTGCATTGTGATTCTGCTCTGACTGGGCAGAACATTTATACATATAAGATGTATGGAGTTTGATCAGCTTTCTATGATCTTTACAATCTAGCGTTGGTTTTAAAAACTCATGAACAGTCTTTTTGCAAATATGTAATTTGAAATTCATTTCATTGCAGGTGGAGATGGTGAAGGACCATGGTACATACCAGACATATTGGTTAACGTACACAGGACTGCAGATGAATCTGCTGTCGGTGTCATCAGGGAAGTGCTTCAGGTATGTCATTCCAAAGCCATTGGGAAGTTTGTTTATCATTTGCATCTTTCTGCTGATTATTAACTAGAGTTTTGAGATCCATGGAAAGTTCCTTAGATTTTAATAAAGTTTTTCCCCAATTTAGCTGCTGATTATTAACTAGAGTTTTGAAATCCATGGAAAGTTCCTTAAATGTTAATGAAGTTCCCCCAATTTAGACGGAAGAAATATAAAGTAGAATTGTCACTAGTAAAAGGGAATAAAATGGAGTTTTTTTGAGTTGGTTAGCTCAGCTCTACTATTACTAATGCTGGTGTTCGTGGACCAGGATGGCTCCTGTAAAATAGCCCTCGGGGTGAATGGCAATGGCGAAGCAATAACTGCTCTTCCTAGTGAAATTGAAATAGTGGTGCCAAGGAAATCAGACAAGATCAAGATCTTGGGTGGTGCACACCGTGGTGCTACCGGCAAGTTAATTGGTGTGGATGGTACTGATGGGATTGTAAAGTTGGAGGACACTCTTGACGTTAAGATATTAGATATGGTTATACTGGCAAAACTTGCACAAATGTGATTTTTGTGATGATACACAAATTGTAGTTCAAGAAATTTTTTTTCCTTGCAGCTTCAACTCATGATAATTTGGGTATGTATTAGTGTTCAAAATTCCAAACTAGGATTAGAAGCTATCACCAAAGCAGGCTAAATAAGAGTTCTATGTTTATGGAACTAACTTAAAAAATATTGTTTAAAGGAAATTTGAAATTAGAAACAATATGTAGCTTAATGTTCACCAATTTCTGGGACTCTAATTTCTGAGCTACGGTAATTATGACTTCGTCTATAGACAACTGGTGACAATAACTTCGGGCCTTCAGCCTCTAAACTAGAAGGCCCATTGGCCCTTACACAATTTGCTCCTGGTTTTTATTAAAAGCCGCCTCCATATTCTTTTGTTTAAACTTAACAAAGAGATTGGCATGACAGTTAGAAGAGGGATCCTTTCTTTTTCTTAAATTTTTGGATTTAAATCTTGAGGTTAGCATTAAAAAAATTAATTATTATTATTATTTTACTTTATTATTATTATTATTATTATTAGCACTAGTGTGGAGGTGTGTTTATTTTACTTTATTATTATTGTCAATTAGCACTAGGTTGTGTAGAGGTGTGTTTAGAGATGATAGTAGATTGGACATAAAGTGAGTATACTGACGGATCCTCATAAGTAAAGTAATAAATTAGAATACCAGTAATATGTTAGATATAAATGACAATACATTGGACATAAAGTGAGTATTCTGTCCGGTCCTCGTAACTATAAATTAGAGTATCCTAATAAGTAATAGGTTAGATATAGATGAAATAGTGTAATCCATTTATAATAATGGTTAATTAATTAGTTATGAATATTAAAATAGTGTAATCCATTATCATTTATGATAATGGGTAATTAGCTATGAATATCATCTTCTTATATACATTGATCATGAGAAAAGTGCACTCTCGGTGTTTATTTTTTTTTAGTAGTCAACTAGTAATTTCTTTTACTTCAATACCTAAGTTTTTTTTTTTTTTTCCAGTCATCTGAGAATATAAAATATTGATATATTCAGAATGAAGAAAAAAAATTTTAAAAAAAAGAGGAAAGGAAAAACTATTATTATTTTAATTAACTTTAATAAACTAAATTGGAAAAAAATAGATTTAAGAAAATGAGTTTCTTCGCAGCTCGTCTCGCTCCTGCTGCCCTGATGTCAAATGACTACAGATGAAGCAAAAGCTTGTTTGGTGCAATGACATGCTAATCGAAATCAAGCCCAGAAGAACCCAAGAAAATAAGAACGTCGCAACTTCTTCCTAGTTCATCAAAATTTCGCTCTCAAATTCATGGGAAGGAAAATGTACCTTGTTTCTAAGATAACCCATCAATCCTCTGTTCACAGAAGACACTTTACGGTTGCGAAAATCATCTCTGAGATCGCTTTTTGCCCATACTATTAAAAATATCCCAACCATTTGTTTATTAGCCACCAAACAGTGCCTTGACTGTCCTGTTTGTCTATCTCTATCCTCCATTGACAAGGATCCACTGTAATCAATTGGTGAGTATAGAGTAGCACCTGGCGAATCTTCTGGTCCATTCTCATCATCAGAGGAACACCATTTGAAATTAGGATCATAATCACTCGGTCTATTTCCAAAGATAACCCATTCATAGACGCTAAAACGTCGATCGAGCCTAGGTTGTGGCATCACCATGTCACCATCCATTCTTATGATGCGGCTCAGAGACTGAAAGGAACGACGATGGAAGAAAGATGGGGCTTTCTGCCTTGTCATCCCTCAAAGCCTGCATCCAATTCTACAATTTCATTTATTTTGATTGTAAATGAAAGATACGTTTTCTTATAAAATATGCTAATTGGTTATAAAATAGCACGGTTAAAAGAAAAAAAAAACTCTCTTGATTTGGATTCCAAATTTTTTTATGAGATAGTGAAGGTGGAGTTAAGTAGTAATGGAGTGACTGTGCGTGTATTCAGGGAGTGGTAGAAGTTGGATATCGAGGGGTGTCAATGAGTGGTTTTATCGAAAGAAACAAAGCAACGGAAGGAGGGAGAGGTGCAAAGCAAGACGTGGGTATCTTGCTCGTTTAGCATGAAAGCAGGGATCTGACCATATTTTCAGACAAGAAAGGCCAAGCTGGCATGAATAGTACTAGGGACTCATAAGTAATAAATGAAATCAAAGAGCATAAACGTGATACCAAATTGTATCCACAATTAAGCCACGAAACATATATGAAACAGTAAGAATATCTACTCAACAGTCAACACTATGTTAAAAGAAATATTTAATGTTATTTAAATATAAATTAATTATCATTATGAGTTTTTACAAATAGTTTTTCGTAAGACAATTCGAATTGTGTCTATTCACAATTTATATTTATTTGAAAAAATTGTATTTATTCCCAACTTATATCTATTCATAAAAATTGGGTCGGTTAGTTAATAATTGAATGTAATAGATTTTGTTAAATAACTCTTGTTCTGTTATTAAAAATCATTCGTAATTCTCATCCTAACAGCGAGTAAAAAACCCATTAAAGATTTATCATAGTGAAAATGTGTTCAATCAAGAGCCAATAGTTTATTAAGGACGTTTTATTCTGTCTTCACTCATCAAAGGACAACATTGAAAGGTCAAGCCGGCACATTGAGAGGCCAAGAGCTTGGCTGAAGAAATAGAAAGGATAAGTATCACACGCGCAGAATCTAAAAAAATACCACACAAATTTTTTAATTTACGGCACCGGTGAGGAATCTATTTATGTCTTGTAAAACACGGAGTGCCAAAAGGGATGAGTTTCACTATGTATCCATCAAGACACGAGTACCATAATATATCCATTCTGTTAAAAGGCAACAATATATCCATTCGCAAAGAAACATGCCTTTGCAATGTGTCCATGATCGAGTGTTTCCATTAACACAAAATTGATTTTTCATCAACACAAACTTGATTTGTTTTCTCTGCTATGTAAATTGAACCGATAAAATGTTGTGAAAGTTTGGTCATTTGCTATGTGAATTAATAAGATTTATAGAGTTTGATCAGATCTATATATTTTAGCCAATTGTAGTTTTAAAAACTATTTTGAACATTGTTTTAGCAAATATGTAATTGATATTAATTACCAATGAAAATAAATTGAATCAAATAAATTTTTAATTTTTAAATCAAATAAATTTTTAATTTTTAATGTTAGATATTCAAACCTAATAAAAATGGTTTCAAAAATCATACAAATTGACGTACACAAACATATTATAAATCAACAAATGTATCTCGTATACCTTCTATTTCTTTCTTGTTAAATATTTTTCGAATTAACAAATGAAAATAATACATCTAAAAGTCTCTAATGATGGATAATCTTCAGCAGCATAAATACGCTATGGTCACCACTCTCTTGAGGATAAGAGAAGACTAAGCTGTATCGGTTGCTTAGCGAATAAAAAGTGATTCGCTTTGCATCTTACTCTTCGGCTACAAAGGTGAAGAAGGACGATAGGACTGCACTTCTCTTCAAATGTAATGAGAGATCGAAATAAATACATTATAAAATATTGTTTTATAATTTACTCCAATATCTCATGAAATTGTGCATATTGTATATTATATTTCTATAGTAATTTTTAATGTATTAAATTATTTTTATATTTGAAACTCGTACAAAACTTACTCAAATGAAAATTAATAAAATACTCATGGGATAGAATTCATAAAATTTATTGTACCTTTTTTCTTTATATATATATAGCGATCTAGTGTTGCCATAGACACAAAATTGACTTCTTTCATTTGCTATATAAATTAAACAGATAAAATGTATAGAGTTTAATAAGATTTCTATGTTTTGAACAACTGACATGTTTATAAGTAGAGACAACGAAAGACCATGGTTCATACTAGCTATGGCTATAAATTGATTAGATCTTGACCTAAATTTGATCCGCAAATCCAATATAATTAAATGGATCCAACAAACAAATTTGTTTATCCAAATCTGATTATGAGCCTAACTCGTTAACTTATTTATTAAATGGATTAAATCTAAATTATCTATCTTGATTCGATCTAATAATAATCCAATCCAAAATTTTAAAAAACATAATTAATACAATGTTTTTTAAATAGTAAAAATTTAATTATAAAAAATATATATAACTATGAAATGAGGTTGAAATTTAGATTTCATTTATTACAAAATTCAAATAAAGCATATTTTCCAATAGTGACAACTATATTTTCAAAATATCACATACAATTTTTTTATCATTTTTTAATTCAATTTCATGAGAAAAAATTATAAAGTGACTTATGTACATTTTTAGACTTGGCATCATTATATTTGTCATCACTAGATTCTTGCTGCCACATGGACAAGAAATAAATATTATTTATTTTTTATTTTTTTAGATGTATCATGCTTTCTACCTAGTTTAAGATAAACTTTTATTAAAATTATTTGATTTTTGACTTTTTAATTGTGTGACATTTTGAATTTTTTACAAAATCTATAAATGAAATATTATTTTAATATATTTTATGTATATATAGTGATTGAAATATATTTTATATTCGAGTAATAAATGAAATGTAACAATCATAAAATTTTTATAAAAATTTAGTGAAAATCCGATAGAGTTTCGGATTCCGTCGAATCCAGCTTCAATTTCATATTTTTAAATTCAATTCGAATTCATAAAATTCAATTTGAACTGTTTCATTAAACAAATTAAATCCAAATATATTATGATCCGATCTGTTGGCTGCTATAATACTAGCCATATTGTCTAATTTACATAAGAATATAAATGAATCTGTTGTCGGTCTCATCAAGGAGGTGCTTCCAGGAAGCTTTTCAAACCCATTTAATTTGCGGAAAATTTTCATTTGGATATTTCTGTTGATTATCAAATACGTGTTTGAAATCATTTGAAAGTTCTTCTAATTTTTATGAAGTTGCGCCAATTTATATAGAAGGAATAAAAAGTAGAATCCTCTTTAATTAAAGGGCACCAAGTAGATTTTTTTGTCAGAAGTGGTTCATTCAACTACCTCATCTATCCCCTGTGTTCTTGTATGGCTATTGGAAAATCGCCTCGGGGCTAATGGCAATGATGAAACAATAACTACGCTTCCTAATAAAGATAATGCTGTCAAGGAAATCACACAAGATCGAGTTCCTGGTGGTGCACACCTTCGTGCTACTAGCAAATTAATTGGAGTGAATGGCACCATGGACTGGTAAAGTCGGAGACACTCTTTGTGTTAAGATAATTGATTGGAGTGAATGGCACGACGAGACATGTTCTAGCAGTAAAAGTGTTGTTTAATTTAGTTAAGGAAAAAGTTCAATTTTCATTATTCACATATAACAAGTCATAATTGGTCCTACATTTGGACTGATTTGATCTAAAAAAGAACCTAATAATCAATACAAAATTAAATGTGTTTTGGTATTAATTTAGTTAAGATAATAATAAACTTAGAATGATACGAAAACTAATTTAAAAATATCTCATTATATGTAGATATCAAAATAATAGTAATAATAAATTAGATAGAGATTTTTAGAGATAATACATACTTACATGCATAGATTAAAATTCAAGGATTTTTTTTCCTTACAACTTTATAACTTTGGCTCGAACATGTAACGGTGGAGCTTACATGTGAATAATATCATATGCGTGCGCGCGCGCGCGCACACACACACACACATATATATATATATATATCATAATTTTGATAAATTCAAATCAAATGCTCACTTAAAAAAAAAAAAGAAAAGGAAACCACTAGCCCATTAACAAAGTATCTTCTATTATATTCGAAAAATATCTTTACATAGTAAAAGAGAGAGAATATTGTAAGCTAAAAGAAAATTAAAAACAAAAAAATTATTACTTGGATATGGTCTCATTAATGTGAGAGCATTGACCTAATAGTGTTAAATTAAAGGTTTTTTTTTTTTTTTTTTTGCCAACAAACTTTCCGAAATATCCCATTTTGAGAGGGAAAAAAAGACATCGATTTCTTTATTATTGCAAGGAGAACTAATGCATTTAATGAAGATTTTTCAATTATGATATCAATGAAATAGTTATTCATCATGATAGTATTAACATCATTGCATATCTTATTATAATAACGAACATCATCACCTATCGGCTCGACTACTAATGTTAGGAAAGGACATTTATATTTTTTTCCACTATACAAATTGCACATATGACTTCCTATATAAAGTTCCTATTTAGAGAGAGCAAAGAGTTCTGAAAAAAATTGAAAACAAGTTCCAAATCCCGAGCATTCTTCTCTCATTTTAAGAATATTTACCTACGGCTAAACATTTTCTCTAAAAAAGTCTTTTAAATCTATTTTGCCACCTTCCAACCATTAATTTAATCATTAAAGAGTCTTTATTAATTCAATTGGAAGGGCTTATGTTACAGGTATTTAGTGCAAAGAACCATCCAAGTATCACTATTAAATTCTAAACCCTCATTCCTCTTATGTGAGCCATATTTGACGAGTACAAGTCAATATGACTCATCGATTGGTGTTATTTATGGAGAATCTGAGTGAAAAAACAATTTACTAATTTTACAAACAATATTAGCTCGAATGAATTGGCAAGTTCTCTTTCATGTTTATCGCTTTTTTACGTATGACCATTACATAGGTAACAACATCACTTTTCATAACAATTTGATTGTTTCAAGGGTATTTTGTCTCTTTTTTTTCAATTGTTAATATGATGTGTTTTTTATTTGAAAATAAAAGTATTTTTCAATCAACTTACTTAAGATTTAGTCTTTCTTCAAATAAAATAAAAATAATATAATCTCTATTAATGTAGAAACTACTCTGCATCAATCAACTTGATCAAAGGTAATGATGAGAATCTAGTTGGCTTCCAAGAGGACCGCAGGCTTGAAAACCATCAATTGGGCTTGGATTTGGTGAATTTTGTCCAAGTTATTAGGCTGGCAACAAACACCAAAATTTAAGACTAATTTCCTTTGGGTTGTGGGAAGCTGCTGCTGATTGGGCCGATCCTTCATTGAGCTGCTTCAGGCCGTGACTTTGTTTCCTATTTTAAAGACCATATAACCAAATAAAATAATGTTTTCAAGGTCCGAAGCTCCATCCTTTATACTTTTGAAGACAAAAGAATTCCAAGTGATTGCCAAAGGACTTATTTTATTATTTTTTTGATCCAATGCCTGGATGGGTGTAGTTTTGTTGGATCCTATGCCAACATTTATTTTTTTTTTGTTATTTTTTCAATTCTCAATAACCTTATATGAGAAACTTTTGTAATACTGGATTATTCAACTTTTTATCAGAAAATATTATTTTTGAAAAATTCTCTCCTAGGTTCTTCCAAAGAACCGAATCCAAAACTTATCAAAAATTCATTCGAATTTTTATAGCATTTAAGCGACTTATTACTTTTATCTTTTCTTTTTTAGAGTGTTGCATTTATATTTTTTTTAATTTAATTTAATTTTTTGAGATTCGTTCAACTTATTCATGGATTCTCTAACTGAAAGCTAGGTGGGTTTACATCGTAAGGTTACCCACATCGTGCTTTTGCACAATGTTTGGTATAAGCACTAACGTAAACTTTTATTTTAAATTAAGAAAGCTATTGTAATTGAGGCAAAAGAATTGCGAAAAACACCTAAAATTCAATGAATTCTCACAAACTTGTAACGACTTAATTGTACGTTCATATACAATGATAATAAAAGCAATCATAGATCACAAGCATAGTAAATTAACCGTTCAAATAGCAAATTTGGAAATAAAAAGGGTAATTTAGAAATAAAAACCTAATACTGAAAGGAGAAAGAGAAAGCGCCATTTTGAAATAGTTAAGAACTTCAAATTGATCGAGGCTTGAAGGAGAGGGAGATGGCATGTAATGGCAATTTTACAAGAAAACGTGAATAATAACGTTGATTTTTCCTTTTTCTAGATAAGAAGGCTAAGCCTCGATTTAGCATTCCTGCTGCACAATAGCTGCAATTTTTTTCAATTTTCAGACATTATCTTTTTAGCTTTGGAACAATCTACCAACTCATTTGGCTCTAAAAAAATCATTCACTCTAAATGTCGAATTTTGAGGCAATGCAAATGAGCCCAAATTGATAATTATATCAATAAGCAATATAAGATCATCATATCAAAAGGACTTGATAACTAAATTAAATAGAATGTCTTAAACACGACATCAAATTATAAATCACTGAATAAGTATTCACAATTAAAAATCATAGAATATAAAAAAACTTAAAAAAATAAGTTTAATGATTAAGAAAATATATTTCTTTCTTTAATTTTTCGAATTCGAACCTTGAAAAGAAATTCATTAAATTCACATGAACCACTAAAACGATGTGTGAGGTGCACTTTTAAAATCATTCAAAAAATAAAATTTAGTCTTAATTACCATGCAAAGTAATCCAAAATGCTATTATCGTGGAATAAAAAATAATAATAAGAAAAAAACATGTAAATCAAAAGAGGTGCCAAAAGGCATCTGTTTTGCTAAAATGGTCAAACAGCTTGAAGAATACCAGGGCCTTGGTTAAGCTGTAAAAGTAAGACTAGCATATAAACTTGAGAGTGCCACAATGTATATATCCTTTTGGCTAAGAAAGGCACTTAGAATTTTAAGGGGAGGACCTGCATGATCCTCATCGCACAAATCTTATAAAAAGCATGAGAAAGAAACATAGATCCATTTTTACAATGTATATATCCTTCTGGTGCTGTTACTTTACGAACAAATCCTCTCCTCATCACTAGTTTTAGTCTATATACTTCTTTATTCTTTAATTTTATTTTTTACCACATTACTTTGCATTATTTTTTACCAATTTTTTTTTTAAAGGAAACCAGAAATTAAGAAATAAATAAAGTGATCCTAACAATGGTTCCGATATCTTATAAATTTGTGTTTCTTGTATGAACATATTGTACGTCATTTTTATGTTTGTTTGAACTTTAACGTGGTAAATCATTTTTCAATTAACAATTAATACAAAACTTACTCAAATAAAAATTAGTTGAGATTTTCAAGTGACAAAACTTCATACAATTATTATAATCATTTATAATAAACAAAGAGATCATGACAATGGTTTATTCTAATATCTCATAAAATTTCGTTTCGTATATGTTAGAATTAATAAGCTAAAAATTTTAACTTCCAATTCTATTAAAATTTTGATTAAATTTTATAATTTTTTTATTAAAATCACAAGTTATATATAACCAAACATATTCATGAATTTTTATTTATTTTTTATTTTCGAGTCAGAAGTTAAAAAAATAAATTAAATCAATTTACAAATGTCATATCATAAATAACCTTAATTTTAATGTGTAAAATTATCCGAAAATAAAAAATCACATTGACAATACATTTTTTTCTTGGAAATATCACATCGAGAAAACTAATTTTGAAAAAAGAAATCTGATTAATTAGGAAAAACATCTCCAGTCTCGTACTTTTTTAGAAATTAAATTAAATTAATCAAATACAAGGACACAGAGATGCAAATGATCTTTTGTGGGCCGAGGGCTTAAAACCCAATAACATTAAATTCTCTGTTTTTTTTTTTTGTTTTTTTTTTCCTCTTTCTGGGGATAACTTCTGCAGTTCGGCCAAGTTACATGGTACTTTTTCTAAACCTGGCAGGAATATAGATCCAAATCAAGTTACGTAAGATCCAGCCAAGATCCAACAAGGTCCAGAAAAAAATAAAGGAGCAGAAAAGGCGAAATTTTTGACTCATTCCCATCCCGGGAAGTGAAAACCTAGGGTAAAGCAGTAAACCCAAGGCAGCAAAAACCTAGAATTGGAGCCTGTCTCTTCACTGCCTCTGACGACTGCTTGCTGATGAATTCTTCTAGTAAGCAACCATTAAAAGGATCAAGGATAGCTTATAAAACTATGCCTTGCTACATTTCAAGACTTCCAGATCACATCCTCAAGATAATCTTCTGCAAATTGCCAGTCACTTTTCTTCCAAGATGCAGGTACGTTTGCAAGTTGTGGGAACAAATCCTTTTGGACCCTGATTTTGCTAATTGTAACCTCTCAATAAGAGAACCCACAAATCTTTTTCTCTGTATGAAAGATAAAAGCTTCTACTGGCTTGAATTTCAAGGAGAATCCCTCCACTTTAATCTTTCAGCAGAGCTCAATTGCCTGCCCGGTTCTCTTATTTTTGTCAATTCGTGTAATGGGTTGCTTTGTGCATGTCAAGATTATAAAGTTATGCACATTATAAATCCTATTACATGTGAGTATATTAGTTATCCTCCGTGTGAAGATGGAGTGCGTTTGCACGCAAATTTGAGTGGACTCGGGTTTGATCCCAAGACTGAGAAATTTAAGGTTCTTAGGTTTACTTATCCACTTGGAATGGCTATGGGGGCCTTTTCCGTCGAGCATTTGAAGGCTGAGGTATGCACACTTGGCAATACCACATGGAGAAGCATTGCGCAACACCAGCAGTTTGTTCGTTCCCATTTTCATTCTGATAACTTCAACGTATTTATGAATGGTTCTCTTCATCGTATTGCTGATCACGAAGGAGTTAGGCAAATATGTGCATTTGATTGCGAGAGTGAGCAATTCAAATCAATATTGTTGCCGTCTGTTTTTTCTGTTGAAGATGATTTGGACTTTGTTTTGCAAAATGTTGGGGCTTTAGGGGACTCCCTGCATCTCTGTTTACTTGTTGAAAATTTTCAACAAAATGTTTTGGAGGTATGGCTGATGAAGGAGTATGGTATTGTTGAATCTTGGACCAAGATAGTTGTCTTTGAAAACATATTGGAACCTTTGAATGATTGGATACCGCCTGCAGTGATAAAGGTGTTCGGAAATGGGGATCTCTTGTTCTATCGTCGCCCATATGTATTTTTATATAAATCTAAAACAAATGGTCTCACAAAATTGGACAGTGATAGAATTCAATCAACTATGAAGCCGATTGATCACAGACCCAGCTTTGCCTCACTCAATGATTTAGTGCGAGACAACTCGTCGATTTAAATGCAGAAGCAAGACATTGAACCGAAGATAAGGACATGAATTTTTCCTTTCGAGCAGAGCTTTTTGTTTGCAATTTGTTATGCTAAACGATTCTGGGAGAGCTTGAAGTTTGTGTTGGTTATGCTTTAGTTTTCCGTGTCAAATTAACGTAGAACTGAAGTATTATATTTCATGAATTGTTGTAGTAGTATTTTTGTGACCCTCTATATGAGAATCACTTTTTTAATGTCTGTAAAAATTTCCGTAATAATGATCTGTTTTGAGATTACAAGCTTTGGTAATGATTGGAAGTGCATCAAAACACAGTAGTCTTTAGATGCCGACCCTGCTTTCTTGCAGTAAACCTATTCTTTTTTCCTGTCTTACTTTTACTTCAGAGAATCCACTTGCTTATGGATAACTTGCACAACATGGTCAGCAAGTAGGAAAATACAATTTCAATTGAAAGTAGAAACATATCAATCACCCTAATATTTGAATTTTGAAGACTGTTAATGAAAAGGATTGTGACAAAATGTTGATAGCAGAAGTTGACAGCTTAAGCAAGAGCGTGTGGGTGCAGTACAAGATAGAATCTGTTCTAAATAATTATTATTGCAACCTTTTCTGTTTGGTAATAGGGTCTCTTCATTGGCTTGCTCAGTCATCATGAAGGTTTTGAGCAAATATGTGCATTAAATTTTTTAAACGAGCAATTCAAATAAAGTGGTTTGCATCTGTTGTTTATAGGGATGGAAATTTTGACTATCCTCCTCAACATGTTGGGGTTCTAGGGGACGACGCCCTCCATCTCTGTTGTTTAATTTTACTTACGAATGGGATCGTGTGGTGGTAGCTGATCAAGGAGAAATGTATTGTTGGATCTTGGACCGAGATATTTGTTCCTGAAACAAATTGCACTTTTATATTAATAAAATAAAATAAAATAAAACTATCGATTACTATCTATGATATTATTTGAAACACTATTTACTTAGATTTGTTTACACTATTCACTAAAATTTAAATATATTATTCATTTCACTATGTGATGGTATTTTTATAGATATACTTATTTTGAAAATTTTCGTAATATTATACGTTAATTCTTCTTTGTTAAATATTATTTTTTTAGTTCGTAAATAGTTTTTGTTTAATTTTTATCTTTTTTTGTTTCATTTTGGTGATCCTTTCTTCTTCTTTTTTCTGATTTTTTTGAATTAAAAAATTTAAGGTAAAAAAATGTTCAGAAAAAAAATTTACAAAATAAATTTTTAGCTAAGAATATATTGATGTTGACATTTTTTATACTATTATAATTTTTTTTAGTTTGTGAATAGAGATAAATAAATAATTTTATAAAAAATATAAAGAATAATCAATCAAATACAAAATTTTGATTAAAAAATTATATACTTTAATGAATTTTTATTTATTTTTAATTTCATATATTTTAATACATAAACAATATAATACGAAATATCAAACCTAAATAATTTTATGTGCTCTGTGCTATCCGTAGCATAACACAAGTGAAAAAAACTAGTAAAAACTGAACAAAAAGGTTGCACAAACCTTGTGTAACCTGGACAGTCACCAAATTTAAACCAGCAACCGTTCCGATTGATCATAATCCCAGCTTTGCCACTCGCAATCATGTGGTGGGAGCAAACTCAAAAAGTTTAAATGCAGAGTTTCTTGCTTGCAATATGTTATTTCTTTGGGTTCCGAGTGCTTTGGGTCTGTTTTGATTTGTGATCTTCTATATTTGAATCACTCTTTTTAACATCTCTAAAGTTTTCTACGGTAATGACCTACTTTGAGACACAAGCCAAGCTTTGGTAGTGATTACGAGTTCATCAAACTATAGTAGTCTTTACATGCAGTATGCTGAGCCTGCATTCTCATAGTGAATCTTTTTATTTTTTCCTGTCGTCACTTTCGAGAATCTATTGCCTTACTTCAGTCACTGATATACTATATTTTCTCTCTCTATCATTTCTTTCTTCTTTAAATAAATAAAAAATGAAAAGAAAAACTCTGGTTAGATAATTCAGCTTTCCTTTATATATACATATATATAAAGGACGACAGTGAAGAAATACGCGTAGCTCTTATATTGTTTGCAGTCTGATATGCAACGAATGGAAATTATGGGTAGTGAGGAGTCCATTATGATGCAGGGTTACATCAAACTATACAAAATCGCCCCGGACGTATGCGCCCTGTGAGAGGATAAATGCTGTTGAAAAAAGATTTGCTTAAATTTATTGGCACCTGTAGAATCAGAGCAATGCACTCTTTATTTGCTGTAAACCCAAGGCATGGGGGCACTTTGCCTTGATAAGCATCAAAGAGAAAATAATGACGAGATAAGCCATTTTTGATAAAGGAAGTAGGGAAAATTTTATAATACACAAGAAGTAACTAGTGACATGTACAATAGTTACTTCTTGGGTCTACTTTGAGAAGAGAGATAGACAAAAAAAAAAAAAAATTACATCCATATCCACAAAAAGTGATAAGAAAATTTCCACGTCCGCTCAAATTTTTTTATTCTCTCTCCTATTTTCTCTCTCTCTTTTTATGTGTCTATTTCTCTCTTCAAAGTGGATCCAAGGAATAATTACTATACATGCCACTAGTTACTCCTTGTGTATTATAAAATTTAAAGTAAGGATGATAATGAAATGGTTATGAAACAGGTATGGGTTAGAAAAAACCTACCTATTAATTATCATATTAGCACATATGAGCTTCCAGGTTTGGATACCCACTTCATACCATATTCCTACACATTGATTAGCCACAAAAATTACACATGGAGACCTAATGACCAAACATTAAGGACTAAAATTACATGTTTTTTCCTCGTAATTTTATTGTCTACCGTATGTTTCTATAGGGTAGCAATATGCTGACTGAATAGCATGTTGCAGTTTGAAATTCTATATAGCTCTAAGTAATTTTTGTTTTGTCATCGTTTAAAGCATATTCACATTAATCTATGTTTCTTCCATTAAATTGTTGATTTGAAAAAATAAAAAGTAATCTTCGATTGTTACCTTATTTCTGCTTTTCAGCTCATTCTATGTTGGGAATTGAAATATTCAATAGCGAATTGCTTACCCACTCGATTACTAATTAATCTTGCTATATGTAATGTATTTTGAAACTAATTTTTAAATTGGCCCACAATATTGACTCCGATTATGCACTTTGTGCAAGTAGCTTCTGTTTGCTTCACATCATCTTTATCGTGCTTTATTAAAATGTTAAATCCCAGGACCTGAAGGTGAGGGTGAATTCAGCCAGTGTATCAGCCAAATGCTAACCAGCAAAGAGTTTTGTTATTTCTTTCACACAAACGATATAGCTATTGATACAAAGGCTAAAAATCACCTCACCAACTTTGCACAAGGAACGAAAGCCTAACCACAAGGAATGCTGTCGAAGTATACAAGGCTGGCTGCAGTACTGAATTTGTCAACAGGCATCCAAAACCACCTGCAGGCTGCAGCCACAAACAAAAAAGAAAGATGGTCCACATTATTCACAGAACTGAAAGGAGAAAAATAACATAAACCTAATAGAAGTTGATGTTGTGGACCCCATCTTGCTGTGCAAATAGCAGTTCGCATTGCAGACAACCAACGCTACGCTACCCTCATCAACCTAATAACACTTAAAACAGAGAAGGACATTCTAGAACTAAGGCAAGCGGTAGAAGATGACAACTCACTTCTAAATCTACAGTTCAAGATTCAATAATAGCTAAACTTCAGATTCACAGGCGCATTGCTTCATACGATCCTATAAAGTGGTAAGAGAAATATAGCATGCTTCCAAAATCAAAGACTTGATCTGCAAGGCAATCTTTCATCACGTATAATTTATACAAAGCATCCACTGATGGCTAAACATCATTTTCCTCCATATCTTTATATCTAATTGGATCAAATCATCTTGAATATCAAGTAGAAAAATAAAGACCTTGATTTAATGCCATAAACTATCTGCCTTGGTTCTCATCTCAGGCAGCATTCAGCTATCCACAAATTTTGACAGGATTTGACTGGAAGCAAAAGGCTCAATTATCACGTTCCTCCAAGTTTTAACAGCAACTTCTATATGCCATAATTTACAAAATCTGGCTAACAATATAAATGCATGCCACTCCAGTCTCCCAAAACTTATAAGCATCTGGCTTCCCTGCCTGGTAAACAGTACTGATCACAACAGGACAAATGCAGTTTGTTCATTCACTTACAAGTAGGTGACTTGAGATTGCAGTTGCTTGCTTTGCCCTTTCTCTAATCCTCCATTTTGATTAAGTTATGCTTCCAACTTTCCAACTTTAATAAATTAAACGAAGACTACTTTAAACTTAAGCTAGCATTTGCTGCGCATTAATCTGACAAAAACAAGGCAATGCATTTGTGCAGATGTATATTAGGAAAAATAGAACAATAATTGTTCTAGAAGTTGTGGATATCCAGAAACTGAGACGAGTGAGTGACAAAAACTTACAAAATAACCACTTTAACAAGAGGCAAAAACAGGAAGTACCTATCCGAACTTACTAACAGAGCACACAGCCTGGCTCTAGATCTTCCTTTACTAAGGAACAAATTCACATCGGTTAAAAAAACATAGAAATTTCTCTGATTTTCAAATTCTACTCACAATACCCCTAAACTGTAATCAGCAAATGAGTGCCAAACACAGTGCATGGACCAATCCTTAAGTCATAAAAGGTCAAATTAGACGGTCATACTCAGTATGTCAGTACTTATCAATTAGAACACTAACAAAAAAATATATGTCTATTCCAACACAGAGAATATCAAATGCTGACACATCCATCGAGAACCAATGAAATGCCATTAATCCTTTAATCATGCATCATGAAGAGCACTAAATTTGACTTCACATAGGGCCATGAAAAATCACAAATATGCACACAAGAGAATTTTCCTGTTGGATTACAAACATCTTCTGAAATCTAACATAATATCTAGTTCTCAGCAAAGCAGCTAACTTAACTGCCCAGTACGGGAAGCATTCCTTATGGGCGAAGCTATTCTTTTTAAAGATTCAAAGCTTCTATGTTATCCTCACAGATTATAATCAGTCGAAAACAAAGACAGAGCTGGATGGAAAACATGATAGATGCCTAATGGAACAGCTACCTTAACCTATTCATTCCACTGCTTTCACCTGCTAATTCAAACAGTTGATTATGCAACACGAAGACTACCCCACAAATATACTTTGGATTACATATATATCCACTTTGCATACATTAGGATCAACATGCCCTCAAATGGTAATTTGTAATCTGCAGCTAAAGCGAAAATTTGAAAACCAAAAAATCTCAGAAAATATCAGCTAGGCTCCAGCTTGATAACAGATGTTCCATTTTTGTTCTTTTGAGAATCCGCATCAGGCATACTTATTATGAGCCTATAAACAAAGAACATAGTACAGCTGCATAGTTAAACCAAAACTTGGATAAAAGATTGCATTTAGCATCTTACAAGCAGCTGAATTTAGAGCCCCATGCACTTTTGCATACAGAAGCTATACGACTGTTGGTTTAAGAAAATCGACTTCAACGGAAACTTGAAGCTTTCCCGCACTATTATCCATAATGTCAACTTTATGAAACAATAAATGGGGGAAAGAAAAGGCATAAGTTAGACTTAATAAATGTAGATCATACCTTGCTTATTTCCCTGGCTCTCTTTTGAAGGATCCAATTGGAACCGCATTAGAAGATTCATGATTTTCCTTAAGAGAAAGCAGGCACAAAATTTTGTTTAGGTTAAAATTAAAGCATCAAAAATTGCAATTTTAACATGCATGAAAATTCGGTTTAGAGAAATATGACCCTAGAAATAGAAAGCATGATTAATGTTGAAAAATTCAATACCTGGTTAGTTGAATTTTGCCCGTGTATCCGCTGAGGCCTGGCATTAAGATCTATCAAATTGTTGTCCATTTTTCCATCACCATCAGTGTTATTCTCTACCATTGGGACCGCAGAGGCCCTGTGGTTTTGTTGACTTTCTCGGGCTGTGAGTTTAAGTGGCTGATTTTGGTCCCTCCTTGTTTCATTATGATCAAGCGAATGTTGTCCTTGCTCCTCCATACGGCCAGGTTTATCCCCTGGAAACTAAATAAGACAATCAAACAAAGCATGTTAATTTGAAATGCTTCTTACATGTTTGATAAAAAACACCAAGCACTTCAACCCCGAGCGACAAACCTCAACTCTCTGCCTCAACAGGAGATATCTCCCATGGGTTCTTTTACCACCAACATGCACTATCATATCGCATTGCAAGCAGAGCGAAGTGCCATCTATCTCACAGTAAAAGAAAGCTGCACACAGATTTCAAGCCAAGGGAAAACAAAACATAAGCAACCAAAGCAAAACTCGCTAAAAAAAAACTTCAAAAATTCATATCTCATGAAAAACCCCAAAAATATCAGCAAAGGCAGGCCTGCATACCAGGTGCATTTTCACATATGTCACACTGTTGAACATCACTAGGATCTGCAAGTCCTACTCGTACATGCCGACTAGCTAGCTTGTTACACAAATGAACCTGCAATTCCAGCACACAATCAGAGACCCATTTGCTTAAATATGACAAATTTGAGTATGCTTACCAAAAAATATCAAAACTTGCACCGCGACATCAAAAGTTATCAATCCAAAGCTTGAAACTTAACAGACTTAGCAAGGGACCTAACAATTTTTACACTCCCTATAAATAAATCATTTTACAAATCCAATAAGCCCATTTCGATTTGAGCTTAATTATCACGTCAACTCACTCAACTAGTTCTCTTAATCAATTCAATCAGTATAATTTCCATTAATCAGATCAAATAAACCACAAAAACACTATAGAGGGAAAAAAATTGTAAAAATAAAAATTGATTGATTGCCTTCTCGTCGCAGGAACGGCAAAGAGCAGCTTCATCAGCAGCACAAAAAAGAATCGCGGCTGCGCTCTCACACACATCACAAATCGTTCGCATTTCTGTTTTTCAGAATCACTTTTGGTTCTTTCTTCTTTTTTATCCCTTCAGTTCTGCCTTTTTGTTATCTCTCCTTTCTCCAACTCAACGCCATTTGTTGATATTTTATAAGAATAAAATTGTTAAGTTGATCCGTTTTGAGTTAAGCAGCTGGTGACACGAAGACTAGCGGGAGAGACGGAGATTTAAATGGTGAAGAGAAGATAATAGAAGAGAAGTGAAAGAGGAGAGGAGACAATTGGACTTGTGCTTTGAGTCTACGAAACTAGATGAAGAAAAAAGAACGAAGTGTTTTCGTTGCTTTGCTTTGTCTGCTATTACTCTTGATGTTGCCTACTCAAGACTCTGGTTTATGTTCACTTTTGGTACTCTCTTTGTCTGCTTGACACGTTTTCTTTTTGAGTAGTTCCTTTTCATTTAAGTCGTAGGAGTCAGATGTTTTTACAAGGCAAGAAGAGTGCTCATTTGAGAGGGTTGACCAGATATTAATGTGATGTGTTTCCTCCTTTGATATCGGGTGTGCTGTATAATTATTAAATATAAAAGTCTAATGAATTCTCTTGTTTTGACGTAATTGGTCTGTTTTATATCGAGTTAGGGAGATTCTCTTATTTTATAGTGAAATAAAACCACTTGCTGTAAAATAAAATAAAAATTTATATTTATTACTAAATCATTTGTTGTTTTTAATCATTTGAATTATAAAATGAAAATTTCATTGTTAAATTATTGTATATTTAGTTTTTTTAATGTAAATTATTAATAAAAATAAGTGGAGACATTAGATTTTACTTTTTTTTTTTTATATAGAAGTATATTTTAGGAGTCTTTTTAATAGTTTACAACATGCTCCGAAGTTTAAAATATTCTTAAATTCTTTTTAACATATGAATTTTATAAAGTTTGAAAATTTAATCTATCATGATTATGATACAATATCATATAAATAATTAAAATTTTAAAAAACAATTAATGATTCTATTAAATGGATTTGTACTTGGAAGAAAACCATAATTATATTCTGTTTTTTTTATAATGAATTGAAATCTAATCTTATCCATATCTTTTTCACTGCTATTTCGCAAAGAGATACGAAAATGATAAACGAAAAAAAAAAAAACAGAGAGAACTGAAGTACTAAAAGATATGGATAAAAAATTTACGTTGTGAAAATTAAAATGTTATTCTCAGAGCCACAGACGGATAATGTACGGCGAGTATAATGTTTTAGAGCGTGTGGTAGAGTAAAGTTCTAAAAGATGAGTTGTTTCTGTTTGTGATCTGCTCCTTTGTTGTTGGTGGTGAGTGGAGAATCATAGAACTTTCACGCGCTGCTTCATGCCGTGTGTGTCACGTTAGTATGGACACCACGGGCCTACTGGGTTCTTGGCATGTGGGTTCCACGATCATGCATGATCACTCTCTTGGTGATTGTTTTTGATGGAACAAATAGAGATTGCGGTATTCTATGTTTCTGCTGTTTAAAGGATATTGCCATCAGCTTTTAGTTTTCCTTCTTTTTTGTCATAACACTATCGCAAGGACTTAAAGTACAAGTCCTTCGTCTTTAGGGTCCGCCTTTACAAACATTATCCATGACAGATTATAAGTTTCAAATTATAAGGGAAAACTAAAAGAGGATCTGATATGCTAATCGATGGGCTCATAGAAGAGTGATATTTCAACTTTCTTGTTCACCGTTTTAGGAGGAGATTCCTGAAACTTACTTTCTCAAGTTTTTGTTTTTGTTAAATCACTGTTAAAATCAAAGAGATTTGTGTAAAAATTAGTGGGAAAAAAAACTTCAAAACTTTCCCTCCTTTGACAATTTTGTCCTTCTCTAAAAAATTATCTAAACAAAAATTAAAGTGTACATGAGATAGGATAATTTATGACATTTTATTCCAACTGTATAGTCTAGTTAAATTACGTCTCATTACATATCCTCACCAAACATAGGTGACTTCCAATATCCAAGGAGCTCAATTGGCTATCCAAATTTTGACACTGAAAGTAGCAATTTTTGCGACAACAACAAGAAGGGAGGAAACTTGATAGGTTTGGAGAACTTGATTAAGAAAAGGATTTCGAAAAAGGGTGCATTCTTTAGCCACGCACTAAATCCAATATTGCACCTTCTGGACTTTTAGGGTGAAAATCGCATTCAACGACCTACGAGGCGACAACCATGCAGGTCCAGTTATAATTGACGGCAACATATATTTGATTTATTGATGCTTGCCATCATGACCTCATCAGGGCCCAAGTGGGTGCCTAAGTGTCAAGATGTCATTGATCAAGTGCCAACCACAGAAGGCTCTAGATTAGATTAAATTAGATTTGAAAGATTTGAAAGTATAGGAAGAACAATCCAGGAGTCTCACTATTGTTGCCTAGAACCTCGAAGGTTGGTTTGTGGTGGAAAAAAAAGTATGTCTTCTTTATTGATTCATTTACTTCGTAATTTGGGACAATATTAAAAAAAAATATATATCCCCATGTATGCATCAAATCAAAATAGAGAAAAAGAATTTATTATTAAAATTGTCGGGAAAAAGATTTAACGACGGATAAACTAGTTCAAAAATAGAATTAAAAAGAAGTATTGTTGCCATTTGTGTTTTACTCTCCGAGTTATTATCCAAATTCCAATTCTAAAACGATACGGCCACTTGAAATATGACCATGGAGTCAATTTTGATTTGCAGAAGTTGGTTCCGGAATTTCTAGCTGCTGAATAAAAATAATAATAAAAACTATCAAGGGAAAAAAAAAAAAAGAAGAAGCCCTCGCTATTTGCCAGATCGAAAAAGTTTATTGTGCTGTTTTTTTTTATTTGTTCTCGAAAGAAAAACCATCTTATGCCTCAATATTTTCATTTTTTAGTCACATCGAACCCTAAAGTAGATTTTTTATCCCAGTACCTCTGCTACTTAAGTTTTTGAGATTTTTTAACTAGTTTATTCACATCCTTCGTAAAAGTTGGTTGATTTGACTAATATTATCAATTGATCAATTATTAACCAATGAGATAAGAACACATAGACAGGCTAAAATCATCAAATACCCCTATGCTATCTAAATTTAGTCAAAGTAATTATTCTACAATAAATTAGACTTAATTAATAAAATAAAGTATAAAATGAAGGACTTAGCTATACCTAAATTAAATTAACTAATAAAATAAAGCATAAAAAAATATCAAACCTAAAAAAATGTAAAAACTAGTTAAGTACTTCCCCTCGTGCTTCATTTGAAATAAAGCATAAAAATTTAAAAATTACATCAATTTATCATGCTTTGTTTTATTATTTAACATAACCTAACATCAGTTAAGTACTTCAGTTTATACTTTATTTTATTAGTTAGACCCAATTTATTATTTTTATACTTTATTTTATTAATTGAGTTCAGTTTACTGTAAAAAAGGTTAATTTTACCAAATTTATACGGTAGAGATATATATAATTATTTTTAATCAAATCACATGTTTATATTTTATTGGTAAAAAATTATTCAAATAATAGCATTTGTCAAAATAATAAACTTATATAAATAAAAGTCCAAAGTATAGCTGTAGCGTGTATTTTTTTTTTGCCTCTTTTTTTTTTTTTTCCTGGACCATAGCCTAAACTATAACCAGCAACTGATAGTTTAATGATAAACTTTACTTGTATTTTATTGTGATTTGATAACTTCAAATTTATAGTATCAAATAGCATAATTTGAATTTTAAAATATTAAAATTTGAGCAAATATGATGAAAATTATCTAATTTTCATCATATGTAATTGAACGTTTTATTAAATGTCATCACGACATCGTTTTAACATTATGTTATTAATTATGCTCTTTTTAAAAAATATATTTAAAAAATATTTTTAACCCTTTATTCTTAAACGTTTTTTTCTTATAAAATATTATAAATATTTTATAAATCATATAAAAAATATTTTATAAATATTTTTAACTCCTCTAATTTTGAACTTTTTTATGAAATATTATAAATATTTTATAAAAAAATATTTTTTGTTAATTCATAAAATCAAAGGTGTCAATCCTTAATTATATTCATTATAATTTATAAATTTTTTTAAGGCTTGAAATTATTTATTGTTAATTATGTTTTCTTACAATAATATTTTATAATTTTTTTTTAAATTAGAAATTAGGAGGCTAAAAATATTTATAATATTTTACAAGAAAAAAGTTTTTTAAAAAAATTCAAGATTGGGGGAGTTAGAAATTTTAATACAATGTTTTTTTTTAAATATAATTAATAAAGAAATATCATAATGATGTCGTTTTTACATTTTAAATAATGATCAAACTATTTAAATGTTAAACATAATAAAAATTTAATATTTTTAATCATATTTATCTAATTTTTAACATTATAGAATTTAAATTATTAAAATATGGTATCCGCAATAGAATATGTTAAAATCACGGGAGACAAGGAGAGCGAGTCGGGGCTCATGAGAGATTCGAGAAGCTGGGGTGCGACACGCAATTGTTAGACTGAACCCACAAGTCAAGCCCCGAAAAAGGAACCCGATGGATTATCTTGACCAAGATTCCAGAAAAAGTCAAGAATTTTGGTACAGCAGATTTGTTTTGGTATACCGATTTATTCAGGGCCACAAACTTCAGAGATGGCGTGGAATGAAAGCTCTTCCCAATTCGTTCTTAGCCACCAATCTCATAGCTTCCCCTTGGCCCACTGGCCCACGTTACAGGACTTTTAAGCCCTTACTTTTTTTAGATTAACATGGGTATCCGGGCCAGCTTTCGCGTCAACCGACTAATCCCATGGGCCCTGACATTATCGACCATGTAAGATGCCAGTGGCCACTGCATGTGGGAGGCAGCGCTCGAACCTGAGACCACAGAGGGAGCAAACCCCTTGGCCCCAGGCATTGGCCACTGCGCCACAGCAAGTGGTTACTTTTAAGCCCTTACTTGTTTTTACTGGTCCTTTCCCTACCGATTAAACAATAATTTAGTTCGTCTAATTTTCCAAAACATATTAAACAGTACTTCTTGTTTTAAAAACTAATTAATCTTTTAACAAGATCATAATTAATTTAATATTATTTTATTTTCTCATCAATTTTCTATATTTTAACTTTTTTCGTTTTACAACAAAAATTAAATAATAAATAAATTAAAAAAACAAAAAGAATTAAATTATAAATAGATTTAAAAACATATAAATTTATTAATTACTTTTAAAAACAAGAGAGACTATGTAATTTATTTTGCAAAATTAGAATGATTAATTTATAATTTATTCCATTACTCTAATCTCAACGTACTAGAAGTTTCACCTAAAAAGGCAATAATAGAGTTGGCAATACTTCAATACTTTGTATGTAATTTGGGTTTAATAAGCTCAAAGGGCCTGTATTATTGATCTATCACACACGAGGGTCTTTCAACTTAAATTTTATTCATCTAATCCTTCTACTTGTGTGCCGTCCATTTCATTAGTCCTTCCATCCACGTAGAGCCGTTAAATGTCCACGTGTCAATTTTTTTGTCATTACTGATCAGTGGGTCCCATGCATGCTATGTCCTAATTGTCATTCTCTTTAACAAAATAATAATTATTATTAGCATTTTAAATTGAAATTTTGCATTTGTATTAGAAAAAAATCCAATTTATTTAAAAAAGACTCATATTTGTTCCTGAAGCCAGGAAGTATTTGTTATTGATTTTGTAAACATTGAAAATTCAAAAAATAAAAAATAAAGATAACTCATATTGATCTTAAAATTCATGCAAAACTCCATAAATATCTAATGGATTTATCTACATATTTTTCATTTGAAAAGCATCTTGTTTTCTTAACAAAAAATATGATGAGCTTATTTTGCACTCATGGCTAGCAAAACACATCTTGCAAGAAAATGAGTTGCTTTTTGACACAGGAAAATATCTAGACAAACTCATCAAAGTTTTGCGAGATTCTCACAAAAACTAGAATCGATTCAAGTTATCTTTTATTTTTAAAATTTTTTAATTGCCAATATTTAAAAAATCAATAAAAATACTTCATAATCTAAAAAATATTTAATATTTTTTAAAATTAAAATTTTCTTAACGTGTGTGTAAAATTTCAATAATTAAATTTTTTTAGAACGGATGATTGTTAGGACTTAGTTTATTTAGGACTCATTTGACCATTAAAACTTAACATGTGAACATTTTACGGCACTATGTGGATGGAAAGATCAACAAAATGGATGGAATTTAAGTAGAAGGATTAGATGAATAAAATTAAAAGTGAAAGGATCTCGTAGTCGTGTATGATAAATCAATAATGCAAGGACTTCCAAACTTCTTAACCCTCTCTTGTTTGTTTGTGCGTGGCCAACCAATGACCACTCGTTTGAGTGAGTAAATTACAAGTCAGTCCCTTTCATTTAGAGAAGCTAATTAATCAATCCATTTCTATTAAAAAAAAAAAAACTAATAATTTAGTCCACCACATTTTAATTATGTCAATAACTTAATTTTTTTTATCAATTTTTATAAGATCAATTTTTTTCATTCTTAAATTGTATTTTTTATTTTTAATTTAAAAAAAAAGGAGAAAAAAAGTAGATGAAGAAGAGAAATAAGACATCAAACGAAAGACAATTTGAAACAAAAAAATCATAATCTAATGAAAAATTGATAAAAAGACTAAATTTTTCATAGAATTAAAACGTATAAAACTAAATAATTAATTTTTAAAATGAGAAAGACTAATTAATTCATTTTTTTGAAACAAAAAAGACTAATTTATAATTTAATCTTGTTTGTCTCCCTTGGAAAAAAAATCACACAACACAAACCTGGTTTTTGATAACATAGAAAACTGTAATAAAACTAATGTGCTCTTTTTCTTTTTCTTCTTCTTTTTTTTTTCATGATAGCAGGGTAAAAAACTGTAATTAAACTCAGATTTGATTTATCTTTCTTTGAATTGTTTGCATAAAGTAAAATGTGCTGAAGAACAAAGTATTTTGAATAGTTTTTCATATATATGTATATATATAGCAACTTGTATGTTCGTTTTCACGAGGGTTACACTGTCATGAATTATTTGAAAAACAGAAATGTTGCAATTTATATTTTCATTGTAATGAGAGTTGCACGATAACATAATTTATTTGGAAAAAACATTAATACTATACAAACATTTTTTTTATATATTAAACATAAGATTTTGTTTCCTTCTATTTTGAGAGCAATCTCAGCCCATTTATTCGAATAATCTTAAGAGACTTTCTCAAATATATGTAACTTTAAAAAATTAAGAAAACGCCATGACACTTCACCATCCGTCAAGACATGTACAGAGAGTTTGCTGCGGGCCGAGCCTTGCCATATGAACAAGGCAACAGTGCATATCATGCTCTGCTGGGCCAGACTAAATTTTGTCCTCTTGGTCAGATATGGATTCCTGGGAGGTTGATTACGTACCGGGCCAGACTAAGTTTGGTTAGGCAATGGACACTGCTGAACCAGCTTGTTCGCCCATTATAGGCTCTACCCCAGAGAACAGCAAGCACTGATGGGATAATTTTTTTTTTTTGGCAAATAAACGTTAGGCCTGATCCCTAAGCATTTGGTAATGACTTATGATTTGTCCAAAAAGAATAGTAGTCCCTGAGCATTTTCTTTTGACAAGAACAAAGCCCAAAGGTCTAGGCTTACTTTGATCAATTAATGCACAAAAAAAAAAAAAAAGGGAAAAGATATTGCCACACCTTTTATTTTTAGTTCAATGTTATAGCAGTTTAAACGTTTTTTTACCTCAAAATGATAAAATAGTCTTACTAAGTTCCTTAATTTTTGTCCAATGACATTGTAAAAATTGCACTCTTTTTTTTTAAAAAAAAACTTATGTATCCACTCAATTACTTCTATACATTAAACCATGATTGGGACTTCTACTGTGTTATGACCCATTACTAATGGCATAACTTCAGCTAAAGCTGTTTACATATCACAATTACTCCACATTGCATCATTATTACGACAATTTGTTTATGAAAGAAATGTGCAAACTACTTTCTTTCTTTATGGTGATCATCTTTAATGGATCAACATCTTGTCAGACAGTGACACTATAAGATCAAAGACTACCATGTCAACCATCTCTCAGCCCTCACCCTTCCTCTGTAAAATCAAAAAGATAATTTTTTGAGATCTACAGTGCTCTTGAGAAACCAATAACACGCTTGCGCTACTTGCTGCTTTGGCACACAGGAAAGCAAATTTAATACGAGGGGGAAATTTTTGCAATGCTTCGTGAAGGAGAGGGAGTTTTAATCACTTTCTTGGGCAGTAATTTATTGGTTTAAAGTAATTATTGTTGGTGATGGGATACTGGAGGAGTTGGAGAAAAAGAAAGAAGGTTCTGAATTGACTGCAATATATAATATAGGAGTCGTTTCACCAGCAACTAGTCCACAGCTACTCATGGGTGGCACACACTTTTCTTGAGTGCTTTTGCCGTGGCTCTGAAGCAAGAAATATTCTACTAATATATATAGAGTATAGACAACAAGTTTCCTTCAAAATTCTGTACATCCATCGTTTTAATCTGGTTATTCGAGTCTGCATTGGTTAGTAATTAGGTTAATTAATTGTAATAGGTAGTAATTAATTACGATGACAGTGGCACATGATCAAGATTGAGTTCCTAATATAATAAATTGGACATGGTACATATACAGAGTTAACTTTATTCACATGAACTTTTGAGGTGGCCTCTTCAAAAAGATTTGGAGCTCCCCCTTTTACAGGTTCTCTGTTGCTTCTTCTTTTACAGGTTCTCAGTAGGAGTACTTTTACAGGTTCTTTAGTAGGAGTATTGAATAGCTCTTAATGGGGCTTGCGTTTGTATAGTTCTACATGAAAATCCCATTATATTTGAGCTTATGCTAGCTGGTTTGTTGAACCAACATCAACCACAACCACTGAATTTCTTGTTAGATTAGTTGTCTATGATTAACTAAGAAATGTTAGATTAGTTGTCTATGATTAACTAAGAAATCAAAAGAAAGGGACACATTTTTATTGATTGGCCCAACAACCAAAATATGCAAATATTAGTACATGCAACCGTGTTTTTTTCTAATCAAGGACTAATATAGATGAAACAGTTCAATTTCATTCATTGAGACTCCACATATTGAGATGTGATCACATCGATTTCCCTCGTCAGACCATTTCTCTTTATAATTTTGATTGAACCATCATCTCTTATACTTGGGAGGAATTGATGGACCCGTATAATAATAGGCAGCGTGCAACCTGATTATAATTGCTCAACAAAAGTGTTATCTCCTTGACTCTTTTTTTTATTATTGTATGGCTGATTGGTGTCTCGGATGCTCCGTTTGTCAGCACCTAAAATGCTTCAATCATTGTTACTCAAGTTGACCAAAACTGAGATGCATCAACAATTTAAAGAATCTTGTTTCTGGTTTGCACGAAAAAACTGTATGAGAAGAAAAAACAGAAAAATAATGTGGTTATATAGTTGGTAACAAGGAAGAAAAAACAAGAATCTTGACCAAATCAAAAGGAGAACACAAGAATTCCTGTCATGTTGCTATTGGTTATAAACAAATCAACTATTCATTCGATCTAAAAAATGTCGTCTTGCCTTCTGTTTTTATCTGTTCAAATATTATTGTTTTAGTCAAAATATTAAGTCGTATATTTTTTTTAAATATTCCTAATTAAATGTTATTTTATAATAGATCTAACTGAAATGAAAGAATATTTTTTAACAAAATAAAAACAATAAACGAGGATGTAGCATAACAATTAATTAATAAATTTCTTAATTTATGGAAAAAAATCAGATATGACAATCTCATTTTAGAACAAAAGAAATATGTAATTACCAAAACAAGTATTAAGAATGAGAAACAATTCTCAATATATATATTTTTTTGACCAAATGAAAAGAATCAACAAGAATTAGTTTCATTCATTATTAACCCCAGAAGGCCTAAGACAATAGAAGGTGGATGGCCATAAATACTTGGATGGCTCTATTCTTGACCCTTTGTGCCTGGCATCATTTCGTTAGCTGATCTAACCGACAAAAAGGTGTGAATGCCACTACTCTTCCTCTTTCACCAGTATTATTAAGTTTCTTGTTCTATGTTCTTAGATCCCCTTCATCATCACCACCGAAAAGGGGATCCGTGATCCACGGGCATCAACATTAGAGGAAAAGAAAATCTGAAACTTTTTTTATTTTTTATTATTATTATTTTCTTACCAATGATCACAATGTTTTGGTTTATGACTTCCTTTATGTCAACTCTTCTCTCCACTATCTAGCAAAATCTATCCTTGAGAAATATCTTTATGTTTTGTACGCATATAGTAAACTTGGATGTGGTGAAAATCTTCATTGACGATCTCAGGTAGTTTCATCTAAAAAATTAGCAAAAGCCAATAGATGCATGCGTGTACAAGTTTTGCGGCTTGATTATTCAACCAATTTGCACGCAACAATGCTTCCTTAGGTATGCCTAGTCTAGTTAGGGTAAATTTGGTATATTGGGCAGGATCAGAAAAATGAAATTAATCACGACTGGATAATAAACGAGACTGAACTGGACTAACATAGATTTATTGGGCACACTAGTTTGTATAGGTTTATTTTGGGCTTTGAATTTTTCTAACTAGTTATTTTAGACCTTGTATTTTATTTTCATGATATTTTAGTCTGTTATTAAAAAAAATCGTGGTCCTCTATTTTTTCAGTATATGCAATTAGTCTTTGAATAATAATAAAAAATTCAATTAAGCCCCAACATGTAATAATAAAACTGAATAGGTAAACACAGTCAAATTTTAGTCAACTAAACTGAAAAAATAAACAAGTGATAAATAAATAATAAGCAATATAAGAAATTGAGATGTAATGGTTTTGTTCATGGTATCAGGCAAACTTGTTCCACCCCTTGTGCTAGAATAAGAATTTTACTTTTGAGACAAATTTGGACATGTATGAGATTAATCATTGTCACGTAAAATGCGTCGTTCGTTTTTTTAATATCATTAAACCAGTTATATAGATAACTTGTAACTTTACATATTTTATACACAATAAGAAACTAAATTATTGAAAAACAAAAAAACAAAAGCTAGCACCAATTTTTTTTTTTTAAATACTCGTGTTCGTATACTAGTCTGCATTTATTGAAGATATATCATATATTTTGAGAATAAAGAATAGATAAATCCCAATACATTCTTGATAGAATCTTCAATATTCTCATCTGTGTACATACCGCCAGGATATTTGTGAGCCCATTCCTCCGTAAATAGTAGAATGTAGTGTCAAAACTAATTTGTTTTTCTTATAAAAATGGAATCCATTTTTGCTCACTACTAGCAATTTTTTGATTGCTAAAATAGATGTGTAAATAGACTAATCATTTATATATAAAAAAAATAAAAAATAAATTATTCTTTTTATTTACGAGAAACAAATTAATTAGTTTTTTTAATTTTAAAAACTAATTTTTTAGTTTCTTAATATTTGTTGATCATGTTTAAATTAGTATTAATTTACTTCAAAAAATATCATATTTACTCATCAATCCTTTTATTTTTTTCTCTTGTTTTTCCTTTTTTTATTTCTTAAAAAAGATCAAATTATAAGAAAATTTTAAAAACTAAAAAGACTAAATAATAAGCTTTTTTTAAAAAAAAAAAACTAATTAATTCCTTTTCAAAACTAAAGTACTACCTAGTAATTTACTAAAAAATACTGCATTCTCTGCAATTGAGGATTCCCATAATCACATCCATCAGTGTCATAGCCAAAGTTTAGTGCAATGGTGTAGTTGGAATTTGAAAATGACCACACTGCCTCACCAATAAATCAATAATGGGATCCAAAATTGAAACTTTAGACTGAATTAGTGAGTTTTCTCTTTCCTGAATAAAAATTAAAAATTTGAGTATTCAAATATTTTACAAAATATCTCTTACCCAGTAATGTAACATTTTATTGTATATAAAGCTTTCCAAAACATAGCGAGTGAATTTATTACAATTGATGATACAATAATAATGATCAAATACATTAATAACCAATAAATCACCCACCACAAACCACCACATGAAGATTTAGTAATAAAGTCTTCCTTCTTACTTACTTAATTGCAGTCTAATTTTGTCGGGTTAATTAACGTAATTAGGTCCTCAAGTCATCACTTTCTGTTCACATCAACTATTTATTCCCTCCATATCTCAACCGTTCACTAAACATCCACAAGTGGTCCAGCCCCATCAGGAATCAACGATAGATTGGTGCCCCTTGAAAACGACAATACCACGTGGCGCCAAACGAGAAGAAAACCCATCCCTCGTATCTACATCTCCCCGTGACTTCCCTTCTAGCTTTTGGAAAGGGTAAACTTCAATTCTGCCCTTATGGATTCACCAGCACTTCGCTTCTACACTTATATGTAAAACCTTTTCAACAATGCCGTTTTAGATTCCAAAAAATTCCAAGACTACATGAGCACCGTTAAATAGTTTTGGTTTTTATTTTATTTTTATCCCGCATGTATGGGAAGCGAAGAATTAAGGGGCAAAAAAAATGAAAAACAACAACCATGAACTTTTAACTTCAAATTATATTTCTTAGCCATATGATAATGACACTTAATTTTAAATTTATAAAAGAAGTGAACATTGACTAAGTGAAATTAGTTTACTCTTAAAAAAAAGTCATACAATTTAATATATTTTTTTTAATATTAGCATTAGATCATTGACAAAGTTGCAACTTATCAGTTAATAAAATCTAATCGAATGTTTTCTTTCCAAATCCAATAAATGTGGAATTATAAAAATCTGAAAATCTATGAAATAATTATTCGAAAGGAGAGCATACTATTTGCTACGGTAAAATATTTGAAAATAGTCAAGGACCATACTGAAGCCATCAGGAGCTATGCGACTAATACCAAGAAATTCTAAACTATAGAGACCGAAGTGTAATATTGCTAATCTAAAAGGGACAAAAAAGAACTTTACCCCTGACAAAATAAACCTTCAACAGCATAACGCTCCATCAGATTTGGTCTCCACTGTCGCAGAAACTGGATGGAGAGAGAGACGCATACAACTCACAAATACAGCTTTTTTTGGCCGTTAACAGATAGAACCAACCCAAATTAAACTAAACAAGACTCTCTCTCTCTCTCTCTCTCTCTGTTTGAGAGATCGTGCGTGGAGGAGAGTGAAAAACCTCGCCGATTTTTACTGTTCCATTCGGTTCGTTCTTTCTATACCAATTTTACCCTTCCATTTGACCCACATTTTCCTTTTTTGCATCCTTTATTCGACGCGTAAAGCAATAGTTTCACAGTTTTTTCTCTCTTCAAAGCCACGTTTCAGTTCATGTTTAAGCAGAACTAAATAAAATCATTTCATTTCAATTACGCTTACTAAATACACAAAAAATATTGATTTATCAGCTCATTTACGCTTACAAAATACTAATCTTGACTCATTCAAGGTAGAAAGAAATTTCTTTTTTTTTTCCAAGTGAAATTTTTGTTTTTACCGTTGTAATTTTAATGTTAACGGTTAAAGGCGTGAAATTCGGGGGATTTAAATGTTTTTTTAACTGATCAGTAGCATTATTAAAAGCTGCGTTTTAGTACCAATTTTTTTTTTGGCTTTTGTGTTGCAGTTGCAGTTGCAGTTTTGCAGAGCTCGAGATTTGAAGAAGGTAACACTGTCTCACTTTCAGATCAGAGAGTAAGAGAGAGTGCTCGAAACGATGGCGTTTTGCTTGAGGAAATTTAGAGAATATCTTATCTGAACTGCATTGCTTCTTTCAACTCTTTTCACTTACCGTTTCGTGACAACAAGCCATGCTTTGTAAGTATATAGCACACGTATATATACGTGTATGTATTTTTATACGTATACATGTATAGGCATGCGCATGTATTCATGAATATTCTGTGTCGACTGGGACCATATACAAAGTCAAGTCGCTGACATGGGCTGCTTCTTTTTTTTTCGTTGTGAATTGAAAGTTTTATATATATATATATATTGAATTCTGTTACTTAGTCTTCAAGCATTGTAGTTGGTTAGGAACCTTTTTTAAGGAAAAGACTAGTAATTAAAATTTGCGTTTTTAAGGTTTGTTTCTTTTATGTTGGTTTTTAGAATTTTAAAGTAATGCCCATGATTGTTTTTTGGTTGTTATCTATTGTGAGGATGATTAAGATTGAATTCCAAGATTGGCATCTTGTTGTAGTTTCAAGTCTTTATCTTTTTATTCATATATATATATATATATTGGTTATTTTAAAAGGTTGTTTGGGTGGTTGGTTGGTTAAAAATGATGATTAGTTGTAATTGTTATTGTTGTTGTTGATATGACATGTAATTGGCATGTTTTTTGGTTACTTATGTTTTGGGTTTGTTAGATGCTTACCTATGATTAGCTTTCTAATTGCAGAGACTGTCAAAGTAAAAAGATGGGCGTTCTGTCATTTAGGCAAATACAACAGCCTTGTTTTTAACATCTAAACTGTCTCCTTGCATTTCAGGATACCAAGAGCACCTGTGAGTTTGTTGACTCATTGACTTAGGTTTTTCCATTTTACCAGAATATTTGAAAATTATGGTTCTTATTTAATTTAATTTTGTTGTTGGGGTTGAGAAGAACAAGCGTGGAGTAGGATGGGATCAATTGGTAAAGAAGAGCTGCTGAAGATGGAGAAGATGCAAATGGCGAGTGCCCGCGAGGAGAAGATTCTTGTTTTGGTGAGGTTGAGGCCTTTGAGTGACAAGGAGATTGTGGCAAATGAAGTAGCAGATTGGGAATGTATCAATGACACCACCATCTTGTACCGGAATACCCTTCGTGAAGGCTCCACGTTTCCATCAGCTTATAGTTTTGGTAAGGAGATGTTCTGTGATTCTTCTTTGTGGTGTCAAAATTGACAATGAGAATGACATGTCCCTCTTGGTTAGGCTAGGTCCAATCCTTTGAATTATCTGGCGTAAACGCTAGAGCAACTATCTATTTCCTGGTAAATATTTGCTTGGTCAGACTGAGATTTTAGGTGGCCTATAATATCACTGGGATCATCATTTCAAACATATAGCTAATTTGGTACTTATTCTTGATACAATAGTCTGGAGAACTTTTCAGTTCCCCATGCTTTTGTAATGCACAAAAGCTAGGATGCTTTTGAAACTGGAAAAAAATCCATATGGTCAATGAACGAAAGGAAACCCACTGTGGATTTCTTCCTTGCTTGTCATTTATCATAATGCCTTCCAAATCATTTGTTTTTAGTCAACCCTATGGGAAACCGAAGATTTTGAGTAGTCCCCTGACCTTAGAAGTGGTCAACTGTTTGCTCGGTGCAGTCCACTGTCAGATGGTTAGAGCACTGAGGTCAGTGGTGTGCCGAAAGCACATGTGAGAAAGCATTGACTTCTGGTTCATCTCTATGCTATATACATGTGACCATGGCTTCTGCCATTGGCTCAATTCTTAAAACTGGTATACATCTTAGTGCATCAAACTTTATAGAAGTTAGTTAATTTGAATTAACACCCAGCGTTTAGAAACATAATTCTTTGTTTATGTGTTTCATCTCTTTATCATTTGCCCATGTTCTGGGGATAGACAGAGTATTTCGAGGTGACAACGCTACGATGGAAGTGTACGAGGAAGGAGCCAAGGAAGTTGCCCTTTCAGTTGTCAGTGGTATTAACTGTAAGTATGACCCTCATGTCTCTTTTGTCGCTTCATTTGCCAATAAGTTAAAACTTTTCACCTACTTTTGCTTTTCCAGCAAGCATCTTTGCTTATGGACAAACGAGCAGCGGAAAAACATACACCATGATGGGAATAACTGAGTATACAGTAGCAGATATATTTGACCATATGCATAGGGTAATCAAATTTTCTAATTTAGATTTGTTTTTGTTTCCTCTCACTTTTTTTTTTTTTTAAATTCTAACTTATATACAACAATTTTTAATATTGCAGCATGAAGAGAGAGCATTTGTTTTGAAGTTCTCAGCAATTGAGATATACAATGAAGCTATTAGAGATTTGCTTAGCACGGACAGTACTCCACTTCGACTGCTTGATGATCCAGAGGTGACTACTATTATCCCTTCAAAATTGCACAAATGTGTTGACGAATAGGTCTGATTTTTTTTTTTTTTTTGGTCAGAAAGGGACTGTAGTGGAGAAAGCCACTGAGGAAACACTAAAGAACTGGGACCATCTAAAGGAGCTTCTCTCTATTTGCGAAGGTAAAGCATTTTACAAAGTCCTGGTGTTATCGAGTGGTATTGTACATCAACTTATCTTGTGGTATTATAACAGCTCAAAGACGGATAGGGGAGACCTCCTTGAATGAGAAAAGCTCCAGATCCCATCAAATTCTTAGATTGGTTTGACCCTTTCCTTTCACCTCTTTCCCAGTACAAGCATTTAGTTGCTAATAAAAATGCATAGTGTTTGAATTTGAATTATTGAGCTATCTGTTTTTTAACTCTTGCAGACAATTGAAAGTTCTGCTCGTGAATTCTTAGGCAAGGAAAATTCGACCACTCTTTCTGCCACTGTGGTATGGACTGTTTCAACTTATTATCGCCCATGAAATTAATAATGTTGGAATAAAGTATTAACGACAGATGGGAACTTACATTGAGTTCATGTTTTTGTGCAGAATTTTGTTGATTTGGCGGGAAGTGAGCGTGCATCTCAGGCACTGTCCACTGGGGCGAGATTGAAAGAAGGCTGCCACATTAACCGCAGTTTACTGACTCTGGGAACTGTTATTCGCAAGCTAAGGTGGCTATTTTTTAGTTTCATTCTGATGTTGACTTCTGTTTCTGTGACATAATTAATCATGGCTAAAGCATGTGGTTAATGGTTATTGCAGTGTGGTGGTTATTTTGACTTTGTTTGCGTGCATCTACATTTTCTGCCACGGATCTGATATTCACTTACTGATCTGTAATTGCCACAGGGATCAGACCTAGTCTCTTTCTGCATTTGTTCAAGACTCAATTTGCTGTCATGATTCTATTTCTATGGTATATTTTTGAAAATGCTTAGCATTGGTAACATATTACGCTAAAAAATTCATAAGTCTACATGATATCAAATCTGAGTTGAAATATTGCCATCACTATCTTGCTTGTCATTTATGAAAGTAGTAAATGGTGCAGTGCATGAGCTTAATAATGAATATAGGAAGATTGGGCTGGTTTCATGCATGCACTAAAACGATATTGACCTTGTTGGCATGTCATGAAGCTACAAATACAAGCAAACTACCCAGGAGTGCATTGGCAACCACACACAGAGGCATACACGTTTTGCATTGAGCCGTTTTAGAACTGTTTCAAAGAATTTTGTTAATGTTGTGTGCTTATTTTGAACTACACATGAATCATGACAGAGCTGCTTTTATCTTATCTTGCTTGCTTCCTACTGATTTATTTGCTGCCTTTTTGTTCCTCTGTAATTGGTGTGAATTGAAAGTTGAAATCTTAACAATCTATAGATTTACATTATTCATATCTCAGCTGTTTGGTGCCATGATTTGTGCAGTAAGGGGAGACAGGGACACATCAATTACAGAGATTCTAAGCTGACACGGTTACTGCAGCCTGCATTAGGCGGCAATGCTAGAACAGCCATTATCTGCACATTAAGCCCTGCACGTAGCCACGTTGAGCAAACTAGAAATACTCTTTTGTTTGCTTGTTGTGCAAAAGAAGTTACTACAAAAGCACAGGTCAATGTAGTCATGTCTGATAAGGCATTGGTTAAGCATTTGCAAAAAGAGGTGGCTAGGTTGGAGAGCGAGTTGAGAAGCCCTGCCCCTACTTCCTCAACTTGTGATTATGTATCACTACTGAGAAAGAAAGATCTTCAAATTCAAAAGGTAATTATTTGTTTTCTAAACTCTTTTTTTCCCTGGAAAATGCTCTCACCCATGTGAGAGACGGAAAAAAATTTGTTATTAACCAATCTTTAGACACTAGACACCGTTGATTTTTCAACTCAGAATCAATAATTCCATTTTTGAACTTTGTGGTTAAATTTTACCAGCAGAAGTTTTACAATTAATTCCCAACCAAGAGTGTGTTGATTGCTTCTTTTCAGAGCAAAATATGACATTCTGGTGGGCAGGGGTGGGGCGGGTAATGGTTGTGCATATTCTGGGTTGGGTGCGGGTATACAGAACCCACCCTTGAGCTGCCCTCTTACCCATTGCCATCAGTTGACCCAGACCATCATTTCATTTTCCCAATGCATGCATGGTCCTAGCCAGCATTCCCTTGACCCTGCTGTATGATTGGGCTTTATGGATGAAAAAAAACTTAAAGATATACGATGATATGTAACTCAGAGCGATTCTGTATCATCTATGTGAGTGCCACGTTATGTATTGACCTACACCCAATGAAATGATTCCTTTTGTGCAGATGGAGAAAGAGATTAGAGAGTTGACTAAGCAGAGGGATCTTGCTCAATCTCGTGTAGAGGATTTGCTACAAGTGATTGGAAATGATCAAAATTCAAGAGAAGAGGTATATTTACTTCCTGATCAGGGAGTGTCACTACATGTTTGATGATATAACTCCAGTTTTGTAATTGCTAAGTGTTGCTTTATACTCTTAATTCAGAATGGGATCAGTCATCTTCACAATCCGCAAGCGGGAGATACTTGGGAAGATGAATGTTCAGTATCTGAATCATCAGGGATGGGTGATCCTCATTATCTCAATGGAGGTGTTAGAAAGCTCGACGCTGCTTGTTATGGTGCAGACAGTGGGAGCAATGATGAGGAACCGTACCACCTTCATGACAACACCAGCAACCATGGGTTCTCTGATGGTATTTCTCCTCCAATGTCAATAGGAAAGACGATTGTCAGATACAATTCATATGATAATCTGGAGGATGCTACAGAAGATGCTGATGACTACTGCAAGGAAGTTCAGTGTATTGAAATGCAAGAGACAAGGAACGGGAGCAATTTTGGACACCGTTCCATATCGAATGGTGAAAATGAAGGAACTTTGGCTTTGACAGCATTCAGGGATGAAGCCACGGAAGGGACTCACGTGCAAAATGGATTTACATATGATGTTTTGGAGCAGAGATTGCATCACGTGCAAGGGACCATTGATACTCTTGTCACTCCTTACCCTGATGAATCATCTCCACAGTCCTCAGTAGCTGATATGTCAACTTCTAGAAGCCTGAACTTAACAAGGAGCCGGAGTTGTAGAGAGAATTTCATGAGTGGCTCTTCTCCTGGATTTGAGAAGGCAGAACAAATTGAGAGTACACCACCTAATGGTTTCGAGAAAAATTTTACTGGGAGACCAGCAGGATCCCGAAGGAAAATTCCTCCACTAGATTTTGGTACCAATGGTACAATGTTATCGAGAAATGATTCTCAGTCATCTCTTGGAAGTGCTTGCACTGATGACTTAAGATCACAGAGCATCAGAACTTCTGCAGATGAGGATGTTCCTAGCATCCACTCTTTTGTTGCAGGACTGAAGGAGATGGCCCAGGAGGAGTATGAGAAGCAACTTGTTGATGGTCAGGTGAGAACGTTCTTATATTCTTTCGCTTCAATGTCTTTGCTTGAAGTTGCGTTCTTAGCAATTGAGTTTCTCTCAAGATTCACTTTTGGCTTGGTTTGATTTTGCAACAGGTTCAGGAGACACAGCCAATGGCTGATAAATATGAAAAAAGTTCAAAAGAGATAGGGTTGGATCCTACGCATGAATCACTGGGAACTTCTCACAATTGGCCTCTTGAATTTGAGAGACAGCAGAGAGCAATACTGGAACTCTGGCAAACTTGCAATGTCTCATTGGTCCACAGAACCTACTTTTTCTTGCTCTTCCAAGGCGATCCAACAGATTCCATATACATGGAAGTGGAGCTTAGGAGACTTTTCTTCCTCAAGGAAACATTTGCTCAAGGATATCAGGGCACAGGAGGTCGTCGGCCTCTCACACTAGCTTCAAGGTAATCTCTCTCTCTCTCTCTCTCTCACACACACAAGCACATCCATGCAAACATATTTCTACATGTGTTTTCACGTGTTATGAACTTTGAAACTTTTGTTACCCAATACTGCGTCCAGCATGCATATCTCACATGATCTGCCAACAGTCCTAGAGAACCAGAAGGAAGAAAGGAGACAGAAAAAAGGAAAAATATATGTTGCCTTTCTGAAGCATGTGTGACACCATAAGAGTTTTTAAAGTCATTTTCTTACAAATTTGTAGCTCTGCGACCCAAACTTCTCTCTTTGTTTTTTTACCTACGGAAAAGCAGTACCTTTTGAGCCCCTTTATTGTTAGTTAAGTCATTGATCACGGAATAGTGAAAACGGGCCTGGGTCTGATAATGAATGACATGTAATGATTGCGCTTTAATGCAATATGAAATTCTTGACTCCTCCATGATTAGAGTTGAAATTTTAAGCTGCTTACTGGAATATTTTTTTTTCCGATGCATAGATTTGCTTTACGTTTTGTAACTCTAATATATGTTTATTTGGGGACAGCATCAAGGCTCTTCATCGTGAGAGAGGGATGCTAAGCAAGCTGATGAACAAGAGGTTTTCAGAAGAAGAGAGAACCAGACTTTACAAGAAGTGGGGTATTGGACTGAACTCAAAGCGTAGAAGGCTGCAGTTGGCAAACTGTTTATGGAGCAACACAAAGGATGTTAACCATGTCATGGAAAGTGCTGCCATTGTTGCGAAGCTGGTCAGATTCGTAGAACAGGGACAAGCTCTCAAGGAGATGTTCGGGCTTAGCTTTACTCCCCCAACCTCCAGCACAAAGCGAAGGTCCTTGGGATGGACATACAGCAAGTCATCCCTTTTGTAGGCTTCTTTTTGTGCCCACATATATATATTCCACAACTAGAGATGTGATTTCTTGAATCAGATAGGTCCATATATCATTGTTTTCATGAATGAAATCATAAACAGATGTCTGTGATTGTTAGTTGTAAAAATTGTAGGAGCTTGAATCATGTTAAAAGTTGAACTGGGTTTTGCTTTGCCCATTTTGTTCATGTTGTGTGCATTTGAAATCTATTATATTTTCAGAACTTTGTTTCTTAACGTTTTTTTAGATAGTTTTCATGTATGACCATTTATTTGATGTGAGAGCTGGGAGTTGTCGTGTAGTGCTCCAGACTGTCCCATAATTTTCAATATCAACACAGCGTTGTTGACATAATTTATAGGTTTTTTTTTTTTTTTTTTTTTTTTTTTTCAACAGCAAAATGTCGGTGCAAAATTTAGTAAATTTAGAACTAATAGTTGTGAATATCATACACAAGTATGACAATTTACTTCTCTCGCTCTAATTCAGTTTATTCCACATCAATGTAAAGAAAAGCTACTATTTTATGAATATTAAATAATAATTTTTCTTTGATTAAGTTTTTTGCAAAGAATGTTGTTAAATTCACCATCAAATTTGTTATTATCATATTTTTTTTATAGAAAATTACCAATATAATTTCCTTGTTAATGTTTGTTACTCTATCATAATTAGATATGTTTTATATTAAATACTTAAAATACTCAAAATTTAAATGTGCATGAAAACAATAATAAAAAAAACTGAAAAGTAAAAATGGCGATGAATATTTTAACTATTTGATATAAAACATATTTAATAATGATATGGTAAAAAATATTGATAGGAGGATATATTAATAATTTAAAATAACAAATTTAATGATAAATTTAACATTATCTTTTAAAATATTATCAATCACTTGATGGTTAGTTGGTTTTATATGAAACTTACTATTTGATTTATCTCAGTATTTACTAATATTATTATAAATATGAATATTTCAGGATTACTTGTATTGGATTATTTTTCATGTATAAGAAAATTGTATTGGATTATTTTTCAAGTCTGAGGTTTTCTTGATAACCGATCACTCATGAAAATTTATTCATCGACAATAAGAAGGAAAAGAGGGCCTTTGAATGCATGTTCGTGGGCCGGGCCGCTTAGGAAAATCTCTAGTCTTGACGCCCAGGAAATGCATAGTTCAAACTTCTAATCATAAGGAAAGTTTCAAATGTAAGTAAATTTTATCCAAAGGGGTTGTGGAAACGACGCCGTCTTTCTCTTTTACTTTCACCGTGATTACAATGACATTTCCCTTCTCCTAGCTTCCGCAGCGAGAAACTAAGGAGTTTCTAGAGGGAGAGAGAAATAAGAGAGAGAGAGAAATGAGCGTAGTAGCAGCGGGTTACCTGGCTCGAAGAACAGCACAGAAGGAGAGAGTCCGAATCCTCTACCGCCGTGCTCTCAAAGACACTCTTAACTGGGCCGTTCATCGTCACCTCTTTTATGAAGATGTATCCATTTCTATTCACTCTCGTCCCTCAATCAGATCTTGCTGCTTTATTATCTTACTGATTTTACTCTCAATTTTTATTTTCTGTGACCAGGCCGATCTTCTACGCGCGAGGTTCGAAACTAACAAACATGTGGTTCGTTCTCTAAACTAATTGGAAACTGGAAAATGTTCGACATTTTAATTTGGTTGTATAATTGCGTGATTTAGGGTGATAGTTTTTTAATTCTTCGATTAGGTACTTTATTCCGGATTTTTTAAGCTTTTTTTTTATTATTTTATGAAATTGGAATTGTAGGAAGATCTAGATACAATTGATAGAATGATAGCTGATGGCGAGGCGCAATATAATAAGTGGCGGCACCCTGATCCTTATATTGGTAACTAATTTTCATACTCCATTTCACAATTTACCGCTTTATATATATATATATATATATATATATATATATATATATATTCCGCAGTTGGTTTGTGGTTTCATTGGGAAGGTAGAGTTGAATTAAGAGAAATGTCAACTTAGAAAAATTATGTGAGATGAGCGATAGGGACAGTGTAATTCGGACCGGTTTGGATCTTTACAGATTATCAAACTCAAACAAACTATGAATGTAAGAAAAAAGAGTTACATTATTTCTAGTCTACAGCGTTTCAATTGCAAGTTGTAATATGCAGTGAAAATTTGAAGAACGGGGAGAATATAAAAGAGAGAGAAGTCACCATGTTTTAAATAGGTTTTTTTTTTGTTGTTAGTCCTTGCAGAGATAATTGATCCATGTGGCTTTGGGAATTTACAAAGCTTCCTTGTGACAATAATGTTTTAATTTTTTCGTTATAGATAGCATTCTTAGGCTGCTCATTTTTGTGTACAGTTCCTTGGGCTCCTGGCGGTAGCAAGTTCACTCGGAACCCAACTCCACCTGAAGGGGTAACTATCATGATTAATTATTCAATTTATTTGTGTGCGAATGCTACCTTTTCTTTTTGCCCTTCCTTACTTTCTGTCTTTTGGGGGGAAGACATGGAACTCTTCTTGTCAATTACTTTTCATTTACTTGTTGTGTTATGCATCTGCACCATATATGTGTATATTAGGTTTTGAATGACTGAGCATTGATTTCTTATTTTTGTTTAGTAGCTAAATTAGGTGAAAGTAAAGTCACTTGCTTCATTTATTGTGGTTGAGCTTTGAAAAGACAGAAAATTGTCCACCACTGTGTCATATATGAGATGCATCAATAAGCTTTATCTGCACACTTCATATGGGGGATTTCTGTGTTATTGGCCTGGTAAATGTTAAGCCCACTGAACTTGAATTTGTCCATATTAAAAAATTGGAAGATGGGTGTATATGGTTTTGTAAAAGAACATGAATAAGTATAATCTTATTAGGTTGGCCTATATCCTTAAAATGCTCAACCCTCGGATGCATGAGGGTTTCTTTCAGAAGGAATTCCAGTGTTATGTTTTTTTTGATACAGTGTGCATCTTTGTGAACAGCTGCTAAGATTCCATAGATAATAACTCTGGTTACTTGTGGATCTTTGTTGCAAACATTAGCAACTTCATCGATTGAATTATGCTTTATGTGATTTGTATTTTTTTCCTATCAAATTCTGATAATTTGGTTTGTTGCAGATTGAGATATTGTATAACTATGGCCGAGAAGACAATGACTAAAATCCTCATTTCTCACATGCAAAAAATAAAGGTTAGCACTATGATCACTTACTTGGCATATTGTGTTAATCACTGCATTACTTTCTCGATGAACTTATGTCAGATTGTGTCTTCACTGACCCAATTCCTGCTGCCGCTCGTTAATCTGGTTTGATGGCGATGAAATGAATTTTGGATTCCCATCACCTCTTTTGTTTTGTGTTTCTCTAAGTTGGTATTTTTGTGCAATTGTTCCAATAATTTTCTGCAATAGTGATTAAAAGATGAAAAAGAGATCAACGAGGTTTGCTTGCTGGTCAACCTGTATTTGGTTTTCTTCAGTCTCCTCCTTGTGATGTGCTTATGACTTAGGATATTGTATAGTATCTCCTCTGGCTGTGTTCCTAGAAATGTTTTCCTTACCTAGCATTTTGCTTCTTCAAGAACCTGTTAAGCATTGTATTGAGTTGTTCTCCTGGGAATTCCTCTAACATTGCAGTTGGAGACCTGATGTTCTTACAACATTATAACTTCGTCTCCTGTGCAGATTGAGATGATCTATGACTGCTGGGGTAGCCGATGATCAAGGCCAGCATCTGCTTTGTGTTATTCAAGTCAAGGCAGATAGCGGACATTATGCATGTTCTTCTCATTTTTCGCTTTTATGTATTTGGTTTTTCCTCTGAACAGATATTTGTGTCCTGCGGGTACCAATAGTCATGAGATGGTGCATAACTGGATTGAAGAGACATGGATCCTTCAAGTGAATAATAACTTGTTTAATTTGTGTCTTGTCCATAATTCTTTACAATGAAGCATAGGACTGGACACCTGGTTGTGGTTCTCACCCACGTCTCTTGGGTGAGAACACTTGAGCTTTGTTAGGATGGATTGTGCTCCGCTTGAACTTCCAATACTGCTGAGCTCTGAATGTCTGAATCTGCAGAAAGTCATCAGCTCTGCTGACCCTGATAGGTAGACAGTCGATTCATTCTTCCTGAAAAACCAGTGATGATTGTTAATATTCTCTTTAACCACGAGGGTCTGAAAGTGGCCATAGGTATAGTGGATTTGGTCTAAACTGGTGTTGAAGGAAGGAAGCCAGGAAAGGTCGGTGACGAGATTTACAAATTATGCAGAATTTGTTTTGGTCCTTTCTGTTACTGGCATCTGGTTGTGGAATGGAAGCTCTATAATCGAGCTTATAGTTTTACTTATTGCTGTCATTGGAAGCCAAGCGAAAGCAAATTTTTTTGAAGCTTGCTTATTGAGAAGCATGCGTCACTTTTTTTTCCCCACTGGCTACTGCCTCGAAACCATATAAGCTGTACCAACAAGTAGTGGTAGTTAAGAAACACTCCATCAAAAGGCTGTTACAGAAAAATTTAGCCATGTGTTGATAACAAAAAAAAAAGAAGGCCATGTCACCCATCACCAAACAAGAACAAAAGGAGTTGTTGCCTGACGAAGGTTGGAAGAAAAATAAAATGAGAAAAGCATGGGCTTTCAATTTGTTGGGTCACCCTGGAGACGAGAAATGTCCGGCGCAGCAGACAAATGTAAAGAACGCATGATCTACTTAACCGTTGGGTCTTCCACGAAGATGCATTTGATTTTTATAATCACGTCTACATTTCTTTGAGCTGAAATGTGAACCAGCTCCTGTATCAAGCCTTCTTTACACACCAGTTCCTGTGTGTTCAGATATTAATATTGCTCTTTCCTGTGGATGACAAGGCAGCAAGGGAGAGGATGTGGAAGATGAAACGTTGGGGTGCTGCTAATGTACAGGCAACAATATTGCAAATAGCCCTGTCGATGGTTGCTATTTTAATGATCCTATTTGCAGTCTGTAGTGGATTCAAACTCGCAAAACATTCAAGCAGATACGTTGCTTATGCCGACTGGGCTTTTTGTATGGGAATTCTAACAATGCTCTTCGGCTTCTTGTTTCTGCTACTGGGGATGCCGATAGTAGCGGAATTATTTCTGAATCTGTCAGAGCAATTGCAGGAGGAAGCTGGCATTCATGAAGGTAGCAAAGCAGATTGTATTATGAATTTTGTTTAGTAGGCTCTCTGATAATTGCTCTCAAGGTATCTTGTTCTAATTCAGTTAGTTAATCCTAGTCCTAGGATAAGATAATACTTCATATAGATTTGAAAGGATAAATTAATAGGATAAAAGTCTTGAAAGAAAAGCCTAGTCTAGACAAGATGAATGATGGGAATATACAAGATTACAGTACAAATAGAATCCAATCTCCTTTGATTTCTGTCTTTTCTTTCATATTATATTTCTTTATTCGCCTTATATAGCTCATCTAGTAAATGTGCACAGTGCAAAGTTCATGAAGCAAAATTTGTTTAGTTCCTCGCATTAACTCGACTCATCCAAAATAAATCCATAATAATACAAATATCCATAGTAATACAAATGAGATATCAATGACTCTCTGGATATATAAGAAAAAAAATATACCTTGAATATCTAGAATTGTAATACTAAAGATTAAGTTCTTATTGTTTGATGAGCATCTTCTATTTCATAAAAGTTGGGAGCAATATAATCTTTACGTAAAGGCCACCCAATTCAACTTTCCGGCATTAAGATATGATTCAGATGCGAATGATTATCATAAAAGATATCCAACATATCATAGGATTTTTTTTCCTTGAAAATTCTCACTTCTACGAACCTTAAAAAATGATGAAATTCTAAGATTCTTCCTAAGGACAAATACTTCTATACAAACTTCTTGAGGTCGACCTAGAATACCATATTCTATTATCATAAGATGATATATACATATAGTCTACCCGGTGTTATATCATAAGCATATTGAGAACACACAGATTGTTGTAACCTTATACGTATAAAATGACAACAATGGAATATCAATCCTGGCTTTATTTGTAAAATCTCTATTCCTTAATCAAAGCCCAAAGATCTATGAACCAGTCCATGTTTGACCAACCAGAACAGAAAAAAGGCCCAACATATTTTCTCTACTTTCTTTTTACGTGTACAAATATTTTCTATTTTTGATGAAATTTAGGAAGATTGACTTGGCTTTGTTATTCAATACAAAGAAGTCCTTCCTCTAATTTATTAATTCAAGAGACAATACTAACTCTTCGTATTTGAAAAAAACTTCTGGGTTGATAAGAGTATTAGTAGTGCATCTCAGTAAACTACAAGCCTCGAGAAACTTATGCTGATATGTAATACTGATCGGGAGTTTTCATCTGGTAACTCACAAGGTCGTAGGAGTGATTTGAAGTAAAAGCAATCAAGAATCAGAACCACATCTTACTAAGATCAAATCTAATTCAGATATTTGCACACAGAATACAGAGAACCGTCTTCATGATATCAAAAACAAAGGAATCAAGAAGGTTCTGTTAAGACTTCGTATATCTTGTCAATTTGTTTCATGTATGTGCGTTCTTACCACTTACCATCTTTATATCCTGTGTGTGATCGATTATTCACCCAAACCCACTCTGACACAGTGAGAGAGAAGAAGGCAATCTATGAAGTCATAAGTTATTACTCGATTCTACACCATAGTGGTCACGATTGTTCATGCTCAGGTGGGCAATTTAAACAGTATTTAGGCTCGCAATGGAATGTAAAGATGATAGCAAACACTAGACGTTAACAGTTACAATTGGAGCCGTCACTATTAGCTTGGTTTAATTTACTTCTTCATTCAAGTTGCTCTACTTGCAGAGTTATGACTGGATTTGCTAAGCCAATTGCAGCAAAAGAAAAAAAAAAAAAAAAAAAAGGGAATTTGCATTCATCAAGGCTAAAGCAGTGGTACCAAGTTTCTGTTTCACATTACTACTACGGATTACTACAGACTACAAGTTTCTTTTCACATTACTACTACAGACTACATCTAAAATGCTAGATCCACTCAGATACGATATTACTATATTCAGTTAAGCCATTATATCTTCAAATTTCTTTCCCAATCACAAAAAGTTCAAACCTAAGTTATGCAAGTTTTCACACGATGAGGAATCTGCATTAAGAAGTATCAAAAACTGATATTTACCATCACTAAGATTATCCAATTTCATTTTTAAGACAATGCACTCGTTTTAAGCAGAAACTTAGTTGCCTGATAACTATCTTGTTAAGACCACTTTTTACAGTTCTCTACATAACACAATATTATTTTTTATTTTTTTCTTTCCAGATTAGATTGATTTGACATTTGAGCTCAACCAGACTCTTTGCAACTGCAATATCTCTAAAACAAATAACAAAATGACTGAATTTGACCAGCAACTTCTATTATCTTTAACATAAAACATCAGCAAGCAATCATACATCATCACGAATAAAGAATCACAAATTCCAATCACCACATTGAAGTTTACTACGAGGATTCATTTCGGCCTATTTATCGTTAAATTCTTCCAATAACAAAAACTTCAAATCCCCAGGTCTACAAGTCCTTCGAATGAACAGGAACCCCAACAAAATTGAAATTACAAGAAAAATCCAAACCGTGCTAAAAGAACAGAAATTTAACGTTTGAACCAAACTCAAAAAGAAACAGAAGTTTATTCAAAAACCACCGCAAAAAACGAATTCATCAAAATCCAGCATCAAATGTACACATTCTTAACTAACTCAAACACTAAAGAGGAAAAGGAAGGCAGCTGCTACAAATAAGATTAACATTTCAGTCATTAAAAGAGAGAATACAGTAAAAATAACAATTTGTAATTTTATTAAATGAGCTTGAAAGGGAGAGGCCAAGGAGTGGACCTGGGCACCTCAACTTTATCTTTAATTCTTTCTATCTTCTTGTCCTTCTTTGGCCTCGCGTTTCCATACGTTCCTTTAAATCTTTTCCCTCTCTTCGTTTTCTTGTCCCCTCTTCCACAAAGGATCGGCGCCATCGCTGCACCACTTGATACCAATGGTGCTGATGATGTTGAAAATAACGCTGATCTCTGACCCACCATCGCCCTCCTCGCTACTCCGCCGCACCACTGCATCACCGTCGCCATTGCTCACTAATTATCCCTTCGGTGAAGGGAAGAAGTTATGCGGGGGTTTTATTCTCTTGTGGGTTTTCAGTTACGGGCCCGAGTCGGTTTTTTGTATACGCATGCGAATGGGCTTTCTTGGGCCTATTCAAAGTCCAGCTTCTAATTCTTATTGGGCTCATATGAGTGCCCATTTTTTTTTTTTACCTTGACGACCAATCAGGTCTTCGGCTTATCTTATTTTCTATGCTGTGCCAAATTTTTTTTTTTTTTTTTTTGGGGAAACAGGGGCGGCACCCTGTGAATATATGCTGTGCCAATTTGTGTGTGTGCTTTATTGCTCAACTGTTATCTGAAAAAAATTATATGTCCAGTTTAATTTTTGCCAATCCAATCTAATTATATGTATACATAAAGACCCTGCACTCCTCAATGAAATCTTAATACATATTTTTTTCAAATGGAAACCTATAACTCACTCAATTGTTAGTAAACAGCGTTAGTAGTTAGTAAGACAAAAAAAAAATTCCATCACGGATAACTGAATTGGCTATCAATACAAAGATAAAAAACTATTATAATCAGCTCAAATATTCTAAAAAGAAGATTTAAATTTGTGATCTCTTACCGTTACAAGAACGTCATCATTTTTCTAAACATAACTCTTTGCATTACAATTCCTAGTATGACGGCTAGATATTTCACAAGTGGAGATAGAATAAAACGTTATGATAAAGATGCTTACTATCAGCTCTTGATTCAACGCATTTTCACTATAGTGTCCGAGTAAATATTCTTTCTCTCTCTCGAACCATGATAAAGTTATTATTTTTTATCAAATCATTGAATTATTTACTTTTCTTGAAATTTCTTCAATGTTTATTTTTACACGTCTTTTTTAGGAGACTTGCAGTCATTATGTGGCATAGGAATTACATATCGAAGGAAACTTAATAGTATACCATTTCTACAAATAGCTCTTAATGCTGCATTTCTTCCTAGACCAGAATCCTTTATTATGGCTTTTGTTCGTTGCATACCTTGATCCATTACGGTCCGAATAGCATTTCCTGCTACAGTTTGGGCAACAATTGGTGTCCCCCTTTTTATGCCCCTACTTCCATAAGTGCTCGTGGAGGATTAAGAGATCACCCGACCTCATACACCTGCAATGGTCATGGTAGTGTCGTTGAAACATGCTTAGACATAAATAACCACCTTAAGAATTTTACGTGCATTTTTACGTGAACTAATGTCGTCAATTCTTGTCAGACTCAATTTTGGTGAAAATTTTGGCATATTTTATTATCTCAACAATTAAGTCTGAAGTCTATGGATATATCCATTTTATGTCAAAATAGATTATTTGTGCATCAGATCCTTTAGAGAAAGTTTCCGCTTAGAAAAATCAAGCAGACTCGAAGACTATTGATTAATGTTAATAAATTACTTTCTCATTCACGTAAAAATTATATAAAAGGACCCGTAGTATTATATATAAATTACTTAATAATTTCTTTATAGATAATTATTTCGATGGGTTTCACTTTTATATAAGAAAATGTATAGGAAGTATTTAATAATTTCTCTGATATATTAAGCTTTAAATGACAAATCTGGATAGGATATGTATTGTGGATCAAATTGGTCTTCTAACACAGATAGTAGGATTTTGTACTGGTTGAATCTGCATTAGTTTTAACTTTAACGTTTTTAATAGGTTTAAGCCCCTACTCTATTTCCTTTTCGGTCAATGAAAGCCACTCGTTCATAATAAATAAATAAACAAATAGAGGATTTTACAGGAGACTGCTGGCTTTAATTTTGCTATTGGGCAAATGGGCCAATTTGTTTGAATTTATGGGCGAAATCTTGATGCCCATACAATAACGGGTGATGGATATGTCGTGTTCCTTGCTGTGGCTCAAAATGAAACACGACGATAAATGAACTTACACAAGACACAAAGTTTTAGTTTGGTTCGTTTATGGACCAAAACCCACCACTGTAGCTCCAAACACAGAGATAGCAAAATGGAGTTGGTGTCGAATAGAATAACTACTTTAACATGGAGTAACTCTGTCTCTACTTCTTCACTTCAAATCCCTCAATTCGTTTCAGTTAGTTTCATAATCACTTCACTTTGTTTTTCATTTTCTGAAGTATTGACATTTCTTGGTAGCTTATGCAATGCGTATGTTATCTTTTGATGCAGATTCGTTGTACTAAGAGATTAAGAGTATGTTGTGCCTCTGACCAAACCCAGAAGGTAAACTTGTTCTTTGAAGTTAATGAAAGTTTAGATTACATCAATTTTGTAATTCGCATATAATGTAGGATGATCATTTTGATTACTTGGAGACTTTTGATGTAGGGAAATCAGACGACTGTATCAGTAACAGGAGCTACTGGTTTTATTGGTAAAAGATTGGTGCAAAGACTGCATGCAGGTTCACTTCTTCTTCTTGTAATTTTTCAAGATTGTCATTCAATTCATAATCTTGACCATTAAGTAGCTTTGGCTTTTAACCTTCTGGAGGTAGCTGACCTGAGAAAAAGCACTCTTTTTATTGTTGAAATTTTATTTTGGGGTTGAATTTCATGAGATTTTAGCTTCTGATTAGTTTAATTTAATTGTAAGTCAGAATGATGTTTGTGGGGATCAAATGAGCTATTGTAGATTTTGCCTGACAACACTGTACTTTATGTGCAGATAAACATTCTGTTCGTGTCTTGACACGTTCAAGATCGAAAGCTCAGTTAATATTTCCGGGTAAGAAGGTAATGAATGCTTCTAATGTAATGCGTTGTTTACAATTTGCAATTTTTTTTAAAAAAAAACCGACATTCTTTTTCCCTAAAGAAGCTTAATTTTCAGATAAACTACTTGGTACTCCTTTAATTATTTGCTTTTTTATTTTTTATTTCTAAGAATATTTCTACTGGCTGAATTCTGTAGTCAAGGATTTTCCTGGGATTGTGATTGCGGAGGAGCGAGAGTGGAAAGACTGCATTCAAGGATCTAATGCTGTCGTAAACTTGGCTGGAATGCCCATTAGTACAAGATGGTCACCTCAGGTTTGTACTTTGTAATACTCATTGCATCTCTTAGCATATCCCTGTTTTGCTTTTTGTGTGTGATGTATAATACCAGATCCGTAAGAGAAGTTGCATAATCCATCAAGATGTCTTCTGCATATTACATGATATGCCATTTGCTTCTCACACGACCAACACATTAGTTGCTTGCGCAGCCTCTCACTAGATCCAGTTCCGAATAATACAGTTTGTAACAATGCATTTCAAGTTCCCTTTTTCAGAATTACTTACATAGGTGCTGCATTGGCTCTTACAGTGTCAAGCAAACTTTAAGGCACTGTTTTATTAACTACAGTGAACAATGTTCAACAATAAACATGGTGTAGACTTGGCCTAGCTGTTCTGTACTCAGTAGCTTTTTTCAGTAAAGCAAGTTTGAGTCCTGGTTTCCTCTATTGTTATATAATCTGGGAGGGTTACTCCCCATTGTGTAGCCCCTAAGGCCCTTTTGGCCTCCTGGTGGACCGAAAAACTAAAAATGAAATGTGATTAATAGCATGCAGTAGAAGTATATATTGCTACAATTTCATGTCTGAAACAGCTGCACTCACATATCAATTTATCTTTTACTTCAACTGGGTGTACTCTACAGCAAGGCACACATGGTATATTCTTTCAGTGGATGGCATCATTTGCCATTGACCAAGGCAATTTATCAACTCTTGTTGTCATGCAGATCAAGAAAGAGATCAAGCAAAGCAGGATCAAAGTGACTGCAAAGGTAACTGATTATCTTCATAAACAATCAGATTTTTTTTCACTTTGTTTTGGAGAGTTTGTTCAATATCCTAACACAGGGTCTGCAGTTTCTCTCTACTGTTTTTCATCCACATCATAACTGATTTTGAAGGTTGTAGATTTAATAAATGGTTCACCAGAAGGACTCCGGCCTACTGTCCTGGTTAGCGCTACGGCTGTTGGTTACTATGGTTCGTTTCTATCGATCACTTGAAATCTCAGTAATATTTGTCATATATTTTTTCCTTCTCAAAATCTGTTCTCTGTTTTTTTTTTTTTTGGGAAATTATGTTAATTTGTTCCCGGTGTCTTTCCATGCAATTCAATTTGTGCAATTAAACTGGATTTTTTTATGCAGATGTTTAAAATTTCAAAAGGACATTAAAAAAGAAAAGAATAATTTTCGTATAGATAAAACTTAAAGTGGAACTTTGAATATCATCAACCATCCTGTATTTTAATATTCACATATACGAGGTTGAGATGGATCATAATATATTTTACTTTGTTCTTTTCTTTTTATTTTCTTTTCCTTCCTGCAAAAATGCTCAGGCAGCAGCGAAACACAAGTTTTTGATGAGCACAGTCCATCAGGAAATGACTACTTGGCTGAGGTAATAAATATAGACATGATTTAATGCCTGTAATTTCCACTTAAAAGCTATTTTCTATTTGGTTATTTCAACTATATGTTAACCTCTACACAAAATACCTGTATATGATTTTCAGGTCTGTAGAGAATGGGAAGCAACAGCCCTCAGAGTAAATAAGGATGTGAGATTAGCACTAATTCGCATTGGTGTTGTCCTTGGCAAAGATGGTGGTGCTTTAGGTAGTCAATCTTCCAAGTATTTTACTTGCATCTCATGCTGACTTTCAGGTGGATTACCAGCTCCTTGATATAATAATTTGAATTTGAGTATTGACGGATCATCCTATATATAGAACTGCTAAAAGTGAATTTATGGGTTATTGTTGTTCTGTCATATAATAGATATTATCAGTGAGGAGCTCTTACGATAGTTTGAAGTCTTTCGATCAGCTAAAGCCATCATTTCTTAACTGCATAGGACAGAGTATTCCTACTTAGAATCTTGAAAGATATACAAGCATTCACCTAATGATTCTTTGATATGATATTGAGCCTCTTTGACCTATTGACTTGTTTCCTTGCAGCTAAAATGATCCCTCTCTTCATGATGTTTGCCGGTGGACCTTTGGGCTCTGGACAGCAATGGTAAGTTGCTACTTATTCAATAGAAGAAAACACAAAACTTTCTGCTACTAAGGCACTATATGATTAGCATTTTGGAAGAAACGCTTTCTTGGAAACTTTCATAGGCATTCTATTTCTGGATCAAAATGTCCATTAGAATAATTGCTCAGGCTTAGAAATTAAGACCCTGTGAAAGATGTCAGCTTATTTAGCACATATGATTGGAAATGGTCCCAGCTCTTTCCCCTATTCTTGCTCCTCCAAAACTTGGACGATTTTTTTTTTTTTAAGCGAATCAGTTTGTTTCCAATATAAGCAATTAGTATAGCGACCAGTGCTGGACTTCACCTATGAGGTTATTGTACCTGTGCAGGTTCTCCTGGATTCACTTGGACGACATAGTGAACCTAATTTATGAAGCTTTAACAAATCCATCTTATAAAGGTACTCTTCTCTTCTTTCTTACAACGATTTCCTGTCTTGATGGCACATGGCAAATAAGTGCATTAAATTGTTGATCAACAATTTTGATTTTTTCTACTTCTATTTTCAACAGCATATTCACTGGGCCAACAAAATAAATACATCAATGATTTCTTCTCCTCAACCTTACATATTAGACTGTCAAATATATTGATCTTGCTCATTCAATACTAGTAATTTGCCATTTTGGATTCATGTCCTTTAAAAACTTGGAACTCGGACATGGTCCTTTATTTTTATGGATAGATTGTTTGAAATTTGTATTCCTTGAAAGAAATTTGAGGAGTGTTAGATTTATGAAGTCAGGCTTCTTTGTCTATGGGTCTCTTTGTAAGTTCCCACTGCAGTTGCACTTCCTTCTTGTACGTGTTTGTTTCCATGGTAATGGTGTCGTTTGGTTAGATATGACCTAAGCACACTTCAGCGTAGAACTTAACAATAATTGAACTCAGTTGTATTGACCTGATCTCAGGAGTCATTAATGGCACTGCACCAAATCCTGTTCGATTGGCTGAGATGTGTGAACAATTGGGAAATGTTATGGGCCGGCCGTCATGGCTCCCTGTACCCGATTTTGCCCTTAAAGCAGTCCTTGGAGAAGGTGCTTCGGTGGTAAGGACTTGACACTTTCAGTAATTACCTTGTTTTGCTTTTTCCTCTGCATCTCACAGCGAGAACAAGCATAATGAGTTCTTTTCAGGTATTGGATGGACAAAAGGTGCTTCCTGCTAAAGCCAAGCAGTTGGGTTTCCAGTTTAAATATCCCCACGTGAAAGATGCTCTTAAAACCATTCTTTCATAAGTGTCGAGACCACTCATTTATGGCTTGCATGGTTATTCTCCGGTGGGAGGATCGAGCTTCTACCAACATTAATCCTAGAGTTTGTCTGCGTGGAAAACATAGCTTTTTTTCCTTCGGAACTGAGCGATTTTTTTCTCACTGATAATCTGTTATCTTTCTTGCTATACCTTGCATTTTTCAGTTCCACATAGATTACCATTCTGTTCATATTTATATCATTCTCTCCCAGTCATATATCCAAATTGGGAAATTATTCATGACTGCATTCCAAATTCCAAAAAGCATTCTTTCAAGATCAGTTAGACTAAGGCTAAAGCAGTAAACAACAGGTTGACTATCAAGGCCAAAGTAATGAATGTCCGAGGGGTTGGAACCTAGCTTGAAGAAGGTAGATAAAATCATTCATGGTTCTGCCTAAAAGATTGTGAAAAAATTTCCAATCGAGGAAGGAACAAAGAAACATTGCTAAGATGGTACCTAACTATATTCTACATCACCTTGGCATAAAGGATATCTTACCAAGCTAACCAAAAAAAAACAATGCTTATAGATTAATTTTGCTGAAGGAGATGAAGAAGAATATTTCGTCGAGCAAGCCATTCCTCAGTTCACCAGAATCCATCTCTTAGATCGGCAGTTGCCCGCTTGCATTAAGAAAAGGGTCACGGATTAGACTTGTTGAACTCATGCCCGCCCCTAATTAAAAACAAAAAGACAAGGAAAGAGAGATGCAAAAGCAAGAATTCAAGACACTTTTAAACAATCAATAATGAACTGAAAGCATTTCAACTACCGAATGATCAGTATGTATTTGCTGATGAACTAGTAAAATGACTCCCTTCTAACATGTTAACGTCACCCCATGTCACTATCTTCAGAATTTCTCAACCTCCCATTAGAAAAAAAATTATCAAGAAAAAAAACCTAAGTTGCAATCTAAAGATTTCCTCAAAAAACCATGCCCCTAGTTTCGTGCCCAACTATTGTTTAGGGGTGTGCGCGCGCAAAAATTTTCGGCCCATTAAAGGATGATCCTTCAATTATATAATCATAGCCCGCAACTTCAAGCAAACTGCTGGTATCTAACATGATTAAGTCATACCCAAACTAATCATTTTGATTCCGCATGCACAACCAAAGGAAATCTTCTGAGTCTAGTGACTGGAACAGATCAAGAAGATAGGTGCTAGGGAAGTGTTTCAACGTAGCATGAATATACAGAGGAAAAGGCATAATTGCAAGTCTGCTTAATTAGAAGCTTAAAAATGATGTTAGGCAAGCAAGAATACTTTTTCCGGATGAGAACCTAATGTTCCATCTTTTGGTGATACAACATCTTCGATTAACAAAGTTCTATTGTTTTAGCCTGATCCGGATAGGACAGGCAAGGTATGACAAAGATAAGGTATTGATTGTTGGACAACACAATCAACCCTTCAAAGAGTACTTTTTTCCTGAGAATGCCTGGAATTTTGGTTCTTCTTTCTTTTCTGACTGCTCTTGTTTAGTCTCTTTTCCCGTTCCCTGCAAAATCAAAGAAACTATTAATTTGCAGTTCTATTGTTAACGCCCTTCTTACATTGGCTCAGTGATTGTTGGTTGGTGGTTTTTTTCAAAATGATGAATGGATGGATGAAAAATGGCACCTTTTGTGTTTCCTTAGGAGCGTGACTTGCATTTGATCCAAATACAAGCTTTCCCTGAGACTGGCGAGCAGTATTTTGTGAACTAGACCCCAGAGAAGGCTGTGCAACAGAAGGTTGCTTGTCTTTGGACCCTGATGAAGAAATTGGTGGAGGCTGATAGTTCAAAGGTTTCCCATCCAAGCGTCTCCCTGCTCCTGTAAAGGGGCTAAATTTTGGTTGCGTCTCAGCTGGTACCTCTTCAACTGCAAGAATCAAATATGGTTGGTTTGGATGAAATGAAAAAATGTTACCATCTTTATGACCAGCCTATCAAATTCATATAATTCTCGAGCGTTTGACATGAGCATGTCTTCAGCTGAAAAAAAAAATTCCTCCTGACCCTTCAATATTTTTAACTGAACACCAATTACCAAAGCGGGCAATGCATACGTTTCATTGAAACAACAGAAGCATCAATAATCATTTCATGATACCACTTCATGTTTATCTGCTCCAACCATCGGTGCAGATGACAGATCTTACTCAGATGAGAGGAGAAACATACAAAGACAACCCCTCAGTGCGAGCATGATGGCTTAGGCTAACTTTATATAACTACTTTACTAGTTCAAATTGATTAATGTAACACTACAAAATAAAATCATGGACAGGTACAGATATGAATGCACCTTGAGAGGTTCCCTTGCTTGAAGGAACAGATGCAACAGGCTTTTCAGGCTCCTTGTAATCGAGGGGAGGTGCGAAGTCCACCTCACAGTCTGTTTCAATGATACTTATTGCATTTGATGGCTTTGTTTCTATGATATCTATGTAGTATTTCTTGTTGTTATATGCCACCATAATACTATCCCCAGTGGTTAAGCAGGAATAATTCCTTAAAGTTGTCTCTAAGCTGCATAACAAAGGAATTCCAGTAATATTACAGAATATCCATCTCAGCACATACGTAAATACATAACATACATTATAAGATGGGCAGGTAACATAGAAGAATAAGAAAATAAAACAGTGAGAGAACAGAAAAAAAAAAAGATATATCTGCAAAATCCATCCATAAATCCTAGAGTTTCCAGCCAAAAAACAATTCAACAAGAGATAGCCCGGGTTCATATTATGAAGTGAACGGAAAATATGAAACAAGGTACAGCTGGAGCTTACGTAAGAAACTCTTTCATGCTGAATCCTCAGAATAGCAAAGTAGTATTGATTGCAGATATATTTTCTATTGTTATAATCAAACAAAAAGATATGAACTTACATAGCTTTTGGGTTCGATATATCCAAAAAGTCCTTTGTGTGCGGTTGCAGTTTAACATATTTTCCCTTTGGAAGAGTTACATTTTTCACTCGCACTATATCTCCCTCTTGTAGAACCAGGTTCTCCATCATCTGGAAGGGAAAAAAAAAAAAAGATCAGCTATCAAAGACTTGGTGATGTCTTTATTCTTTAAGTCGGGATCCAATAAAATCAAAATAAATATGCCAAATATACACCCAAAAGAAAATAAAAATCCAATCCCTACCCAGTATGGCATATAAATCATGCCTTCCTCTGCAATAAACTCCAGAACCCCACAGTGAGACACCCGCTCAGTAGCAGCATTCCGAAGCTCAAACAACATTGGATAATCAATATGCAGAGATGCTGCAGGTTTTTTTTTCCAGGATTAGCATCATAGATCTCAATCATGGCTCATGAGCATCCAAAAAATAAAAATCAAAGGCGCCATTATACAACTAACCAAGACGATCAAGAGCTGAGGGAGGCATTATAACTGTAACAACAGAAACAAAAGCAATGTTGGAGGATTGATATAGAATTAAGGAAAGAAGTACGTATGCCCAAATAGAGTTTGAAGACTTACTTTTATCACCACTTTCAATTTGTGGCTGCAGGAGAGTTAAAAAGAATCAAATCAGCATCACAGGGGAGAGAGAGAGAGAGAGAGAGAGAGTTATTTTGAAAATAGCTCATATAATGCTTGGCTCAAAATAAAGCAGAATGGAAGAAACATACATATAGACTATCCAAGGCCATCCTTCTAGTTCCGAACAAAGACTATGTTCAGCTACACTTATACAATATCTAGTTGGGTCCTTCACAGAACTAGAAATAAAGACTTTTCCCAATAAGTAGGCAATTGCCACAAAATTTAAAGCCTTATCATCCAAACATCTGAACAATGCCAAATTAATAAACAGAACAATCACAGAGATTCTTCTATTGACCACCTATAAATCAAATCAGTGAACTTAACTAAAAGAAAACGAAGAAAAAAAGATCCAACCTTTTCAATAAATGAAGCAGGGTAACATCGATATGTCTGCTCAAATGATGTCCCATGATATCCATATCCATCGAAAAACTGCTACACCACACCCAAAACACACAAAAACAACATCATTCTTAAACGCCCATATTCAGCAAAAAATTGAATAATGGATAATCATCATAAAGTAAAACATACCATTTTGTATTTGAGCAAAATAAATAGTCAAACCGAACGATCAATCAACTTTCAAGCTCCCTATTCAAACAACAAGACAAAATACTGTAAATCTAATATGCATATGAATTCAAATCAAGTTCACAGCGTTTTGAAAAATTATTAAAACCCAGAACAAGAAATATAGTGATAAAAACTAGGTTTTAGTAGAGCATTAAAAATTTGGAGCTGAAATAACAAAATCGAACACTATTTCAATAAAAACCTTTCTTCGCTGCTAATAAATAATACAAAAAGGACAACAAAATTTAAACTTTTTGTGTTTCGTTTTTTGTAACTTTATAACCTCAAAAGCAGAAACTTAAAATCTAGGTCGAACTAAAGAATTTAGAAGCTAAATTTAAAATAAAAATAAATAAATAAACAACCTTAACGTTTGTTTTGGTTGATTAGAGAGCAAGTTAACTGTAAAATAGTTAGATCTTAGGTAAATTAATTAAGAAACTATAAAGAAAAAAGAGAGGGAAATAAGAGGAGGATAAAATTGAATTACCTGATTGCTGAAGAAATAGAATTCCTTTTGGGAATTAGAAGAGGAGAAGACGATGGGAATTTTAACGATTGCGTAATAAGGGAATGAATGATGATTTTGAAGGTGAAAAGACTAAGATGCGCTTCCGAGCGTATTGTTCACGCCACGTCGCTGTCTGCCCATGTACGTACATGTGCTTGGGCTCTGATTGGGCCTTTTTAAGGGCCACCCTACTTGGGCCTAAGCAACGCAACTGCATTATGAGCATCCAGTTATGCATAGAAATCAATCCATCATTCAGCAGCAAGACAGCAACCTTTATAGTTTAAACAGCGTCGAGCACATTTTACTTTCTGCATTCCTAGACAGCCTTGAAGGCAATATAACCATGGCAATCAAAGTCCATCCTTCGGAAGATTAACTCAAAACTGCAAATCCATCCAAAGAATCGAGGGATGTTGTTTCTTTCTTTGTTTTTTTTTTTTTTCCCTATTTTCCTGGCATCAATTCAGAGGTCCTTAAGACACCATCAGCTTAAACAGGCACAACAAGACAAGCCAAGAGAAGACAACTTAAATTGAGGGATGTTGTTTCTTTCTTTGTTTTTTTTTTCCCCCTATTTTCCTGGCATCAATTCAGAGGTCCTTGAGACACTATCAGCTTAAACAGGCACAACAAGACAAGACAAGACAAGACAACTTAAATTCAGAGTTCAGAATGTGACCACATGAAACATGGAGTATTACAGAATAGAGGTAGCCAATCGTCTTGGTAACCAATTCTTTCAATCGATATGATCCGCTCGACGAAGAATATAAATGTCTCGCTAATTACAACCATAAGTCCAACCTGCTCAGTTTGTAGTCATTCTTCAGAATCAATGCAACTGAACGAATGAATTTTCTTTCTTGACCACAGGTATCGTACCAATAAAATGAAAGGAAATTAATTATCCTTGAAGGAAATCAAGGAGAATCATCATGATCTCTGTCTCTGTCTGAAATTAATCCAAATACAAACATCTCTGCAAAGATTTCCTTCCTCTATTTTCGAAAGAGCTCATATTCTTGAGAAAAGTAAATTGATTAACTCGGACATAACAGTTGAAAAATCCACCATATAAGAAAGGTAAACCCATAACTATGCTTCGTTCTGATTCCGAACATAACAGAATAGGCACTTTAAGAAGTCTTATTCTTCCTGTCATTGATGTCCCATGAATTGAACTCATTCTGCTAAATTCAGAACATTTTGTAGCATTTCGATGCAGGCACCTGCAACCTATCTAACTCAATGTAGGCCTAGCCAATGTAAAAAAAAAGTCTAGTTATGCATCTGTCCAATCACCCTAAAATAGGAGTCTTCAGGATATTAATGTAAACAATATGAGGAAGTCTCAACCAATTATGAAGGCAGCCAACAGCTGGTATTTAGGATCTTAGGCTACACTAGGAGTTCTTATCAAGTTTTATCAAGTGACGGCTATAAATATAAATGATGTTGTCTTTATTTATAACGAAGACAATTAGAGTTACAAGAAAAAAGGTCCAACGGTTCTATCAACTTGGCTCAATATTCTGTAGATCTTTTGAAAGCTCTGCACCCCCAGCCCCCGCAAGGGGCACTAGTCCCTTGACCTTTGCTTGCTAGCCCCCTGGCGAGATTGACATATGTGTAGCGTTTTATACTACTGAGCCTCCATCCATACCGATCTCCACAACTTAACATAGAATATCACACTTACAAATCTAATCATCTGGTGCTTACCCGGCAACTTTCAAATCAAATCATCTGGTGCTGAGAAATCTCAAAAACAGCATGCAATCCCCGAGATGACAGTAAGATCAAATCTGATTGAATTTCTTGCTTGTTCTCAAAGGGATGGATAAAACTTGAGCTTTTAACATAAATGCATGCGATTAGCGCAAAGTATATGGATAGATGTTATCAGGGTGTAAAATAAAAAAAACTTGAAAGCTAACAGTATTAGTAACGTAGATTCTTCAATAAAGGGCATACTGATAGATTTTGACATGTAATATACACCTTACCGTATTCGATACTACATGGATAACAAGAAGATCAAGTAGAGAGTTAATTAGGCACCACTAAATCAATCACCAACCCCATGAGAGCTGGTTATATGCAAGAAAAATGAATAGGTGCTCTTAAATTTTGTCCTAAGAAAGTAATAGAAACATGGCAAAGCAGTATGAATAACCCACAAGAGAGTCACAGCATATGTCGAATGCTTGAGCCAAAACAACAAAAGTGTTATGCAGGAATCGTACTATGCAGATAGTCTTCGGTACAGATTATCCTATTCTATACCAAGTATAATCTTTATTTTTTGCAGTCCTAGCCCTTCAGGATTTGCCTATAGCATGAACCCTGACACTTGTGGAATAGAAAAGGGGCAACCTACATCCAGCTTCATAATAAGATAAGGCAAAAATCCTGAACAGATTTCCATCCATTTGGAAAATCTCAGTGAATCTTCCGCACTAAAGATGCTTATTCTGCAATAAGTAAAAAATATAATATATATATCAAATGCTAGGGGAAGTGCACATCCTGAATTTGGTACTCTATTATCTAGCGAGCAATAATTATGCCTTTTTCTTCAGTTTCATTCCTGCTTTTTCATAAGAAAGTGCCAATACTAAACTTTGAAGCAAAGAAAAGTGTTATTCTACACATAATGTCTACTTCTACTCCGTTTTTGGGGAAGGGATATTCTATTCTCCTAACATTAAGATTAGAAAAATCTTGCAGTGTGTCAACTCCCCTCCAATTCCCTAGCTTCAAAACTTCAAGGCATATTGAAGTATATCAAGAGACGCATCTCTCTCTGAAAGTATGCGAAAAGAACCTGAACCAAAAAAAGTTAAAGTTTGCATGCCCAAAGAAAACAAAGCAGCTCATTATTCTCAGTTTCCTCAGGTGAAATTTTCATTTAACTACTACAAAGTATCAATGTCAACGACCAATTATTTATGGTTCTGTTCTTTATTAAGCATGTACAAACAGCGTTGGACATAAATAATATCAGCTTCTTTCTAAATGCTATCTCTTGCTAGATGCATTATTTGATAATTAACATAAAGGAGAAGAGAACAAGGAACAAAAGTAAGATTGCTGTGCATTATATACAGAACCAATTTTCAGTTTTTCATAGGATTCCAAACTCAATGCTGAAGTTCACATTTCATAGAACAGCATAACAGTATCTTCACAAGAGGGCAGTGCAGTTATTCTGATTAGAACCCTAATTACACGATATGAGCATCAAGTGGATCTTGACTTACTTCCACGCAAAGTTTTCGATATGCATACTGGAGACACCATCAAATCAACCTCCAAAAACACTCAAAACAACCCTAGTTTTGTTTCTACTATCCTTCCTATCTGAAGTTCTTAGCGACAAAGAAACGTTTCCTAAATAATGAATTAAAGCAACCACAATTCGTTGAAATTTCAGTCACGCTATGTGTGCCTCACAACTAACCACCAGTCTTCATCCATAGAATCCACTTTTGACCACAAGTTGTCTTTGAGGCTGTACAGAAAGCCACTAAATTGTGTTCAACAAAATGCGACTCCTTTGAAAGAAAGAACGCCCTCGAATCAATGTTCCACTCCCAATTTCACTTTCACTTTCACTTTCACTTTCACTTCTTGCAAAAACATAGCAAAACCCCACTTCAATTGCAATGACCGTCAAGTATGAACTAAGAAAACAAATTACGCCTACCATCACTAAAATCTAAGGATGATTCAGCAAGCAAATGTTATGCCCATCGACATAACAAACAGTAATCCTTACGGCAAAGAATTCAAGTCTTAAGGCTCCGTTTGGATGTAAGGATATTAAAACTAATAAAAAAAATACTTGAAAAAACAATTTTCAATTGAAAAACTCTTTTACAACAAACATCAAAGTGATGCTTTTTTATATTTTGTTCACATGGTTTTGATGTAAATATATTAAAACTAATGAAAAATCAATTTTCGGTTGATAACGCTTTTACAAAATCAGTTAAAACGGCATTTTCAAACAAATGACTAGTTGTCATAACAAACTGTTGAAGCCCAAGACAAAATATAAGACAATGAGACCCCACAAAATTTGACCACAGAATGTTGTAATCTAGCCTTTTCATCAAAAGACAGAACCCATTTACATTTTTTTTCCTTTGTGCAGAAGAACACAATCAAAACCACATTTAGAAAAGGCCCTACACAGGATCAGAAGGTCAGTAGTAAAACACATATGATAAACACACAGGATCAGGAAGTCGGTAGTTAAACACACAAGATCAGGAAGTCGGTAGTGAAACAGATTAGAAAGCTACATCTATAACAAAACAAGGGGGGGAAAAAAAGCAACCAATGGAACATGAACATGCATACTTTGTAAGAGGCATATGTAACTCAAAAGGATATGAATCAGGGAGAAGGGAGAAAAAAAAGAGAGAGAGAGACTATTGCACTAGAACTCTTGAAAAAAGTCTACTAAAAGGAGGGGACAAGTATCCAAATTTACATAAGGGTAGATTATTCGGTTTCTCCATCCCCTCTTTCACAAGGAAAAGCAAAAGACACTGTCCTGACAGTTACATCTTTTGCTCTTGACGAACATTAAAAATGGAAAGAAATAAAAAGTTAAAATAACGAAATTTGACACAACGACCTCTAACAGAAAACCAACCATCAACGGGGATGATAATCTCAAGCACAGACAACAGACCACTGCTCATCCTCGCCAGTAGCACTATCAACAGCAGCATTGTAATCATCCTCGTTGCAGTAGTAGAAGCCACTATTATTCATAGCAGTCAATGAACAAGGAACCACCAGATAAGGCATGTTATGGAAGTAGCTAGCAAGGCTGTTGGCTAAAGCAGCGTTGCTTCCCATTCCATGATCACTATCACCATCATCGCTATCCTCATCTTGGTGACAATATTCTTCAACACGGTGCTTGAGAGTCTCGAACATGAGCTCGGGCTCGTGCTGCATAACTCGGAGGACATCACTACAAGATGGACCCGGCACAGCTCGTGTCACTGCGAAGCTGTGCGGCCCATCACTCTGTGAAACCCGCACTACACTAGGGCCACCGAACAGGTTGTGAACTCCACCGAGTGCCTCCTCATAAGCCCCGCCCAAAAACATCCCCAAGTAGTACTTTCCACCATTACCACCGCCACCTTCAATTTCATGAAGCGGCAGGCTGGACTCACCACCTATGAACTTATCAATCTTCCCATCACTATCACATGTTAAATCAGACAAAATTCCTCTCACACCAGGCTTTTGATCAAGTCGATGAATAGGGACTATAGGAAACAACTGTCCAATCCCCCAGAAATCAGGAATTGATGTAAACACAGACAAATTCACATGATAAGTGCGAACTGGATCAGATGCACCAATAGCTTTATAGAATAATTCACACAATGCATCAACAGCAGCTAATTGTTCCATACCAATATTTCCTTCTTTGAATTGATCAACGCACCTTTGTTTCAATTGATCAGCATACATCAAGCACGCCTCATGCTCGCCTCTTATTGCTGAAGCAGTTAAGTTCCGGTACTCAGCACGAGCATCCTCAGTAAGCCCGTCAAGATAATACTGCATTCCATAGGAAGTCATTGATGCAGCATTAGAATTAGGCGAGCTTGAAGAGACAGCCTCAAATATCAAAACTGAGTGATGAGAGACAATAGCACGACCACTCTCGCTGCAAATCACTGGATGCTTGATATTCTTGCGGTCACAAACAAACTTAACCGCTTGCACAACAGCGAGAGCATACTCTTCAAGCCCGTAGGCTACGGAAAGATCCGAATTGCCAGATTTAGACCCGTCATAATCGATACCCAGCCCACCTCCAATGTCAATGACTTGCATATGAGCACCAAGACGGGCTAACTCACAGTAGATCTGCGCAGCCTCGCCTACACCATCGGCAAGCAAGGCGGTAGAGGGAATCTGAGATCCAATATGAAAATGCAGCAACTGGAAGCAATCAAGCATCCCTGCTTCTTCAAGCTTCTTCACGACCCGCAAAATCTGGGTCGTAGTTAACCCAAATTTTCCTTTCTCGCCAGAAGTAGATCCAAAATGACCCGAATGCTTTGTTCTCAGCTTTGCTCGAACACCAACCACAGGCCTAACAGACATTTTCTTGCTCAGTTCAATAACCAGATCGATCTCTTCTTCTTGTTCAAGCACAATCACTGTATTCAAAGACAGTTTCCTCGCAATCAAAGCAAGAGAAATGTACTCTCCATCTTTAAACCCGTTACAGACCAAGAGAGCTTCTGGGTTTCCTTTGCACAAACAACTCATAGCTAGGAGAAGCTCGGGTTTCGACCCAGCTTCCAACCCGAACCGAAACGGAGACCCGAATTTCACAATATCCTCAACAACAAACCGGTCCTGGTTACATTTCACAGGATAAACACCTTGGTAATGAGCCTCGTAGGCCTGAGACTGGATCGCGAAATCAAAAGCAGAGTGCAGGGATTCAAGCCTGTTTTTAAGCACATCAGGCAAGCGAACAATTAGCGGGAGCTGGAGCCCCAGCCCACCAACCCATTTCGGATCCGAAACCTTCTTCACTATTTTCAGTAAATCAATCTCCTGATGAGCCAGCGTGTCCGTACCATAAGGCCGGACGGAAAGATTCCCGGAGGAATTCACAGAGAAATAAGGAGCACCCCAGCCATCGATTTTGTAAAGCGCAGCGGAGAGGGATGGTGACCAATGAGCGGAAGAATTTTCAGCGGCAGCGGCGGTGGAAGTAGTGGTGGTCGTTGAAAGAGGTAAGCCGGGAAAAAATGATACCGGCGACGGAAGAGAGCTATCCCCGGCAGGAAAAGCGTAGCCGGGAGGCGCAAGCGCAGCATCTACGCAACAAGCCAGGGCAGGCATCCTCTTCCGCGGAGATTTGTTATAAAAGAGAAATTAACAAGAAGAAAAAGAAATTTGTTAGAATTATGAAGAAATGACGGATTGCTGTTATTTTCAGTATTTTTGTATCGGTGGGGGCTTTACAACCCGCCGAGGCGCGAGGCCCCGGCTACCCCCTCAAAAGAAGCAGTAAGGGGATCTATTGAAACGGGAATAACCCTTCCTTCTCTTAACCCTACTTAGTTCTCTAATCCCGACCCCCCAATCAGAAGATAATAGCTATTTGATACATAAAATTCTGAAAGCAATGCAAGAAACAGCAAATCTAAGAGCTGAAAAGAGACCACACCATGCAGATCTGGGTTTTTTTGAGAAATGGAGGAGAGGATGAATGGGAAAGAAAAGACGATTGAAGATTGGGATTTTCCCGAAAAAATTAGAGAAAATAAGGAAAAGATTAGGGTTTCTAGTTGTAGAGAGGAAGAAGAGATGTACACGAAGGTGTAACTGGGCGAGAATTGCATGAACGGTTTAGGTCGTTTATATAGCGGAAGAAGGATGGAGGGTAGTGGGCTTGTGGGACAGTGTTTTGGGCCTTAATAAATATCTTTTCAATTTCTCGCGTTTTTCTCCTCGTGAAACAACAATTAAAATTAAGGATAAATACCTTGTAAGTACATTTAATTTTTCAGTTTTTTCAATGTAATATATAAACTTTAATTTTTTTTATTTGAGTATACCTATTTTTCTAAAATTACCTATCAAATACTTACAATTTTTTTCTTAAGTGATGGTGTATCTGTTACCTTAAAGATACTACAATTTGAAATTTTTTTCAATCAAATACATATATTTTAATCTTTTTTATTTAAATATTTTTTTTTCAAATTGTCAATCAATTACTTTTGTTAATTTTTCTATTAATCAATAAATTTTCTCGTTACTCCAACGGTACCAATTATAAATTTGCCTTTTTTTAAGGAATTTGCGTCCTAGGTTATTCTACCATTTCAAAATTTGACAAAACAATAATATATATGTGTGTGTGTGTGTGTGTGTATATATATATAACCTCAAACCAAACTCAACTAACAAATTGAAAAGAAAAAACATATGTAGATTTTTTATCAAAAAGATTCATTGCATGTGTGTATTTGAAGAGAAAAATCCCTCCAATAAAAAAAGAATAAAATTATAATTTAGTATTCTAAAGGTAATGAATACGTTAATAATTAATGAAAAAATAATGAAAGTACTCGGATTGGTAATTTTTTAAAAAATGATATACTTAAACGAAAAAAATTAAAATTTATATACTCAATTGAAAAAATAAGATAAAATTATAATTTGGTATTTTTTAGGTAATAGACACTTCGTCAATTAATAAAAAAAATTGACGAAAATATTCGATTAACAATTTTAAAAAAATTAGTATATCAAAATAAAAAATCAAAATTGATGTACTCGTTATGCAATTGTTTCATTAAAATTATTGCAGAATGTAAAATTTGCCTGATATATGCCCATCCAGGAAAATAAAAAATAAAGAAGAAGAAGAAATAATTTTCGCTTAATATGTATTGCTGTGTTGTGTCACATAAGTATTGTTGTGTTGTATTGCGTTGTACTATTTATATTCATTGTTGTATCGTGAGCAAAAGTAATGTTCGATAATTATTTACTGTTTTTTTGTCTATAAATAATCAAAACTAGATAGTATTGTTGTGATCTTGAATACAAAAGGACAAATAAAGCTTGTAACATAGTCAAATATTTTTTAAAATATATTCCGTTTATAGTAAATTATTTATTATTATCTAATATTACATGTTAAATATGTGCAATAATGCATTTTTTTATTAAAATAATTCTTAAAAACGTAAAACACTCAATAGGATGATAACGTATGTATGTTCATAATTTTAATAAAAAATCTCAATATGATCAACAGTATAAAAATAATGCTATGAAATTGAGTTATGTAAAACATCAATAATTTTGTTATTTTAGTGATTTGTTAAAATAATTAACAAAAAAACAATAACTCTATAAATAAATAAATAAAATAATTGAAACTGTAAGAAGCAATCGTGTTTGTTTATCACAATTGAAATTATCTTTGTTTGGTTTTAAAAATAAAACATTTTTCTTTTAAAAGCAATATATTTTTTAGAACTATCGACGGATAGGATCACGAGTGTATCCAAATTCGATTGTTTAATGAATGGATTGGATTGGATCTTATGAATCGATTTTTTTTTCAATTATAGATCCAGATCTAGATCATAATAGTTTTGAACTGAAATTGGATATTCATAAAATTTGTCTTTTTTAAGTGTTTGCTAAATTCAAAGTCATACTTCAATATAAAATGAGTTTCAACTGTTGCATGGGGACTTAATATGTCAATTTAAAAAGAAAAAAATCAAAAGTCTATATATATATAAACAATCCCGATAAAAATTTATAGTAAAGTCAACATTAATTTGAATTAGGCAAAAAGCATGATGAAGTTAAAGAAAAATACCTACTTTAAACACAACTATACTCGGTATAAAAGAAAATTATAGTGTTTTACAAATAACAAGTTTGTGGTAAATAAAAATTCAAATCGAATCAAGATTCCATAAATTAGAAACAAATACTAACAACGAACTCGGAGTATTTTTTTAGACATTTATAGGATTTTTTGCAAATTTCTTTAAAATGCCTACTCTAAACACGGTTATACTTCAATGTAAAATGAGTTTCAGCTATTACATAAGGACTTAATGTGTCAATTTAAAAAGAAAAAAATCAAATGTCTCGCCATTAAAATAATAATAATAATAATAATCCCGATAAGAATTTATAGTAAAGGTTAAAATTAATTTGAATTAGGCAAAAAGTATGACAAAGTTAAAGAATAATAATAAAAATTATCTACCCTAAAAACAACTATACTGGTACGAAAGAAAATTATATTGTTTTACAAATAACAAGTTTGTGATAAATAAAAATTCAAATTGAATCGAGTATTTTGTAAATCGAAACACAAGTATAATACTAACAACAACTCATTAGTGTCTTTTTTGTAGACATTTATTGAATTTTTTGCAAATTTCTTGAAAAAAATGATGAATAAATTATCATGCATGCAAGAATAGTCGTCAATAGAGAGGGAAAGAAACAAAAAATATAGAATGTTTCTTAGCATATAGAGTAAATGAATCCTAAATCTAAACCTTGTCATATTTTTTTCTTTGTTTTATTTATTGTTATATTTATTAGAAATCATATTGATATTAATTTTATATTAGATTATTATTGGATTGAATCAAGGCAAATTCTTATTTGATCCATTTAATAAATAGATCAACAAATTCATATTATAATTGTACTCGAATTATAAAAATTATTTATCAAAACTATCAATATAAAGGGAAAAATATCATGAACATTTCTTGACATATGTAGTAAATAAATCTTAAATCTAAACATATATATATATATATATATATATATATATATATATAATTTTTAATGTATTTAAAATATTATATTTGTTAAAAGCATTCATATTAATTTCATATTTCATTATTATCAACCAAAACGAGGTTCATACTTACTTGATCCATTTTAATAAACAAGTGAATAAATATGGCTAATAAAAATTATATATCAAATCTATTTAATTATATATAGGTTGGATTGAGATTTAAGTCAAGATTCGATTCATATTAATTTCATATTTGATTATTATCAACCAAAACGAGGTTCATACTTACTTGATCCATTTTAATAAACAAGTGAATAAATATGGCTAATAAAAATTATATATCAAATCTATTTAATTATATATAGGTTGGATTGAGATTTAAGTCAAGATTCGATTCATTGATGACCTACCCATTTTACTTTCGGTCTTTAAAATAAAACAAGTGTTACAAAGATACAAATATTTACGTGGTTCATAGAAAGAGACAAAAATAATTTTGACAGACATTTTATTGAAATAGCACTGTTATACTAAAATCATTTGAATTGGTTAACTAAACACACAAATGAACATAACAATTAATAAAATAAATTCACATAAAATGTTCTCCTTCACTGTTCATAAATTCTTGGAATAATTGAACTATAATACAACAAGTTTTATTTTATTTTATTTTTTTCAATTGAGTGCATAGACTTTAATTTTTTTTTAGTCTAGTATACTAACTTTTTAAAAACTATTAATCAAGTAATTTTGTTCGTTTTTTTTTCTTCATTAAGTGAGGAAGTGTTCGTTATTCACATAATACCAAATTATAATTTTTTTTCTTTTTTCTCAATTAAGTACATGAATTTTAATTTTTTATTTGAATATATCAATTGTTTCAAAATTGCAATCAAGTACTTTCGTTAATTTTTTGTTAATTGATGAAGAGTCCATTACCCTTTAAGTTTTTAATATATATATGTGTGTGTGTGTGTGATTTGAAGGAAATTTTTTCAAATTATTCTAAAATTTCAAAACTTGACAATATATATATATATATACACTAGTTTCTAGCTATAAATCTCCAAACTAAACTCATTAGATTTAAGCCAAGATTCGATTTATTGATGGCCTACCCATTTTACTTTTGGTCTTTAAAACAAAACAAGTGTTACAAAGAAATAAAGGTTACAAAGATACAAATATTTACGTGGTTCATAGAAAGAGACAAAAATAATTTTGGCAGACATTTTATTGAAATAGCACCATAATACTAAAATCATTTGAATTAGTTAACTAAACACACAAATGAACATGACAATGAATAAAATAAATTAACATAAAATGTTCTCCTTCACTATTCATAAATTCTTGGAGTAATTAAACTACAATACACCAAGTTTTATTTTATTTTAGTTTTTTCAAGTGAGTGCATAGACTTTAATTTTTTTATTCTAGTATATTAACTTTTTTAAAACTATCAATTAAGTAATTTTGTTAGTTTTTTTTTTCATTAAGCGAGGAAGTGTTCGTTACTCACAAAATACCAAATTATAAT